CACCAAAAATGCGAGCGCGCCCTTTCCACGCAGGCGCTTTGCTGGTGTGCACAGCTTGCACAAGGCTTAGAAAACGTGGCTCAATAGGACAGCATAACAGCCGGGCGGGTGAGAAGATCGCCACAATCGGTACGCCTGAACCGATCCGAACCGGCTGGATACCACCACAGGTAATAGCGATTCCCTTAAATTAAAAACGCGGTAAAATACGGAATGTTTAAAAGATCTATATTCGGATGACCCCTGTCTGGGCCAGCTACGTTTATTTATACGAGAAAAATCAGACACAAGGTAGTCCTCGACTCGCGACCGCCGTTGAGCCCCCCCAAAAATTGTGTCGTTAAGTGAGACAGTTGTTAAGTGAGTCTTGCCCCAATTCACGACTGTTCGTGCCACAATTGTTCAGTGATACGAAAGCCGGCTGGGTGACTTTGGGCCAAACACCAGGCGACTGCGAGTTCTAGTCCTACTTACGCATGAAAACTGGCTGGTTATTTTGGGCCAATCACCAGGAGACTGGGAGTTCTAGTCCCACCTTAGGCATGAAAGCGGCTGGGTGACTTTGGGTCAATCACCAGGAGACTGGGAGTTCTAGTCCTGCCTCAGGCATGAAAGCTGGCTGGGTGATTTTGGGCCAATCACCAGGAGACTGGGAGTTCTAGTCCCGCCTTAGGCATGAAAGCCGGCTGGGTGACTTTGGATCAATCACCAGGAGACTGGGAGTTCTAGTCCTGCCTCAGGCATGAAAGCTGGCTGGGTGATTTTGGGTCAATCACCAGGAGACTGGGAGTTCTAGTCCTGCCTCAGGCATGAAAGCTGGCTGGGTGATTTGGGGCCAATCACCAGGAGACTGGGAGTTCTAGTCCTGCCTCAGGCATGAAAGCTGGCTGGGTGATTTTGGGTCAATCACCAGGAGACTGGGAGTTCTAGTCCTGCCTCAGGCATGAAAGCCGACTGGGTGACTCTGGGCCAAACACCAGGAGACTGGGAGTTCTAGTCCTGCCTTAGGCATGAAAGCCGACTGGGTGACCTTGGGCCAATCACCAGGAGACTGGGAGTTCTAGTCCCGCCTTAGGCATGAAAGCTGGCTGGTGACTCTGGGCCAATCACCAGGCGACTGGAAGTTCTAGTCCTGCCTTAGGCATGAAAGCCGACTGGGTGACTCTGGGCCAATCACCAGGCGACTGGAAGTTCTAGTCCTGCCTGAGTTATGAAAGCTGGCTGGGTGACTCTGGGCCAATCACCAGGCGACTGGAAGTTCTAGTCCTGCCTGAGTTATGAAAGCTGGCTGTGTGACTTTGGGCCATCACCAGGCGACTGGAAGTTCTAGTCCTGCCTTAGGCATGAAAGCCGACTGGGTGACTCTGGGCCAATCACCAGGCGACTGGAAGTTCTAGTCCTGCCTGAGTTATGAAAGCTGGCTGGGTGACTCTGGGCCAATCACCAGGCGACTGGGAGTTCTAGTCCGCCTTAGGCATGAAAGCCGACTGGGTGACTCTGGGCCAAACACCAGGAGACTGGGAGTTCTAGTCCTGCCTTAGGCATGAAAGCCGACTGGGTGACCTTGGCCAAACACCAGGCGACTGTGAGTTCTAGTCCTACTTACGCATGAAAACTGGCTGGTTAATTTTGGGCCAATCCCCAGGAGACTGGGAGTTCTAGTCCCACCTTAGGCATGAAAGCCGGCTGGGTGACTCTGGGCCAATCACCAGGAGACTGGGAGTTCTAGTCCTGCCTTAGGCATGAAAGGTGGCTGGGTGATTCTGGGCCAATCACCAGGAGACTGGGACTTGTAGTCCTGCCTTAGGCATGAAAGCTGGCTGGTTAATTTTGGGCCAATCACCAGGAGACTGGGAATTGTAGCCCCGCCTTAGGCATGAAAGCCGACTGGGTGACTTTGGGCCAATCACCAGGAGACAGGGAGTTCTAGTCCCAACGTAGATCATCAGGTAAGTTTACCTGTTTCAGTCACTTAGAAGAGTAATCAAGGTGGGATAAAAGATAAAATAAACCAAGAAGCTAAGACAGGGCCGCCTCCCCCAGTGCCCCCCCTACCCCGCTCTGGCACTAACCACTCCGCCCCGCAGGAAGAAGTTGTACTCGTCCATCTTCAAGGTGCCGGACATTTCCAGAATCTTGGCGCACATCTGGAAGCTGAAGAGCAGCTTGTGTCGCTCAAAGAGACCCCGGCAGGTGTACCTGCGGAAAGGAGACACACCTTGGTCAGGATCCCACCTGCCGGGGGACTCAGGGGGTCTCACTCCGCAGAGGCCGAACCCCCCCCCAGGGTTCGTGGAAGCAGAAGTCAGAAGCAGGGAGCCATCTTGTCTGGCCATCATGCTGACCCCGCCCCTTGCCTCACCAGGAGGACTCCAATGCCCATCAGCCTGCTCCTCCCTGAGAGGGAAAGAGACAGCCTCCCGGCGCCTTCCCCACAAAGCTCCGACTCGCTGCGGAACGTCTCAGCTGCCAACTTGAAGCTGTATATAGCCAGTCCTCGACTTACGACCGGTCACTCAAAGTTATGACGGACCCTACGATCCGGATCATTGACGACAGTTTGCAGCATCCCTGAGGTCATGGAAATGGGTTGGGGATTTTTTTTTTGCCGAAAACTGGCAATTATTTCTAGTTTTCAGCCAACGCATGCCCATAGCAGCCCACTGGCTCTCTTAACGACCGCAGTGTTCGCTTAACGACCGTCGTTAAAGACTGAGCTTGCAAGGCGTGTTTGGAAGAGAAGCCAGCTGCTCATCCTCTAATTTCAAGGAAATGGAAGCAGGGAAGTGGGCCATTCAGCCGAAACTTTTTACCGAAATGTTTTAGGTTACGACTTAACGTCCGCAATGGGCAGCCTGCATTATACAGGTCGTCCTCAACTTACAATGGAGCCCAAAATTTATGTTGCTAAGTGAGACATTTGTTAAGTGAGTTTGGCCCCATTTTACGACCTTTCTTGCCATGGTCGTTAAATGAATCCCCGCAGTTGATAAATTAGTCACCCGGTCGTTAAGCGAATCCGGCTTCCCCGTGGACTTTGCTTGTCAGAAGGTCGTATCTGTAGTCACAACTCGAGGCTACAGTACGGGCTCATACCACTTTTTCAGTGGGGAGCAGCGGAAGGGCGGATGGGGGGACTTCCGGTTGGTTTGGTGGCGTTCCCCGGAACCCCCGAGGGTGGCGGTCGGAGGGGGCAGCTGACCTATAGACGGCGTAGGTGTGGTACTCGTTGAGGTGTCGGATCCGTTCGTCCAGCTTGTGGCTGCGATGGCTCTTGTTGATGCTGAGGTTGAAGAGGTCGATGTAGGCGTCCAGGGAGAACTGGTACATGGGGTCGATGCGCCCCATGTCGTTGAGCACGAAGAAGAGGATGGAGGCTCTCTGGGCACAGGGCCGGTAGGCCTATATAGGGAACAGCGGAGTGGGTCAGTGTGGGAACAGCCCCGTATTGCCTATCCCAGGGGTCTCCAACCTTAAACACTCAAAAGAGCCATTTGGACCCGTTTCCCACAGAAAAGAAAACACCGGGAGCCACAAAAACCCTTCCCGTGCCTGACGATTTCTCGAGCGGCCCCAAAACTAGCATATGTAGTCGAATTAAACCTTCTGTTTTCTTCTGAAACTTTCCTTTTCTTGGATTTATCCATGGTTGGCCTACTGAGGGGTTGAAAAGCTCAATAAATCGTGTGCCGGGCGGATGTCGCACATTGGCGGTTGTGACGCATATTTTGAGTGACAGAGAGCCGCAGCAGAGGGGTGAAAGAGCCACATGCGGCTCCAGAGCCGCAGGTTGCTGACTCCTGCCCTATCCCATCTCAGCCTCAGAAAGGGGATCCTGTAGACCGGGGGCGGGGCGGGGTGGATCACCAAACCTGGCCACATTCTTGTGGAAAGTTCAACTCCCAGAATTCCCCAGCCAGCGTTTACCAGAATTCAGCATGAATAGGACAACAATAAATCTGGCTAGAACTACCTTTATTACATTTTTTGATAGGGTAACTTTAATAGACGGTGGGTCTGCGGTCGACGTAATATATCTTGATTTCAGCAAAGTCGGGGGGGGAGGAAATTGCTGGCTGACGAATTCTGGGAATTGAAGTCCATCGGTCTTATAGTGGCCACGTTTTCTTTAGAGCACGGGTGTGAAACTCGCGGCGTCACGTTGCAGAACCTTCAGAACCTCCAGAAGCTCCCATAAGTGAAGAGGACGAAGAGGAGGAGCCTCTTCTCGATGCACGGGCGCGCAGAGCTGCCAAAAGGCAGGAGTGGCTCCTCAGGAGGAGGTCTCCTCGGGACTAAGGCTTTGGGGCTAATTGGCCACTCCCTTAGCCTATTTAAGGAGGAACGCCGACTGAAGCAATTTGCAGGGAACAACTTCGTTCACATACCTTTGTGTCTTGTCTTGCTTATCTTATCAGCTTCCTGCAAATTGCTTCTGGGCATTCTGCCAACCACAGTAAGCTTTCAGTTATTATTCTTTGGATTCTTGGCGGCTGTTAATGCCGTTAATTAACAGCCGTTGTTGTCAAAAACTGGTTTATTTAGTAAACTAAGGTTTGAACGGACTTTTTTGTGTGCTGCGTTCTGTAGAGGTCCGTAGCTGGAGCAGAACAACTATAGGAAGTGGGGCGGGGGGGGAAGGCATGGCTGGCTGAGGAACTCTGGGAATTGAAGTCCATAGGTCTTATAGTGGCCAAGTTTGCTTTAGAGCCCGGGTGTGAATCTTGCGGTGTCACGTTGCCATCGCATGACGTATCATGACTTGTTTTCCCTTCACGGCGCTGGGGTGGGCATGGCCTGCGCGTTACGCATGTGGCCCGCGGGCTGCCCAAGTGCAACCTTGGGCACTTTAATTTGACACGTGCTAGCCACGCCCATGCCTGATTTAGCAAAGGGAGAAAAAGTCGCAATACGTCACGTGACGATGCCATGACGACGTGAGTTTGACACCCTTGCTTTAAGGCATGTGGACTTCAACTCCCAGAATTCCCTGGCACTCCTGCATTCCTTTCGACATGTATACCCGAATGACATGCTTATTCTCTTACAATCCCTTCCTCTGCAATCTCTCCACTGGGGAAATCTAGGAGTTGAAGTCCACCCGTGTTAAAGGGGCTGAGGTTGGAAACTCTCCTGCGTAGAAGAACCCCAGCAAAGTGGGTACTTGCCTCCCGGGCAGTGTCAATCTTGATCTCGGTCATCTCGCTGGTCTCCAGCTGCTCCGTCACTTCCGTGGCGGTCACTTTGGAGGTCTGCAAGGTGTTGACCAGCTGAACATCGTCCAGCAGGGAGCCGGTGGCTTCGTTCAGCAACCTGCGGGCGGGAGGACAAGGAGCTGAGCAACGCGTGGTTCCCGTGCCTCCCTCTGCCGACCGAGCGCCAGCAGCTCCGTCCAGAGGTGAGAAGAACCAGCAGCTGACTCCAAAGCTCGAAAGTCACTGAGTCCTCGACTTGCGACCACAAGGGGGACCAGAATTTCCATTGCTAACAGAGCCACACCCAGTTTTATGACCTTTTTTGCCCATCGCTGCAGTGTTAAGTGAATCCCATGTTTGTTAACTGAATCCCACCCCCACCCCCGCTTGACTTTGCGTGTCGGAAGCTGTGAGAGTTGCAAATGAGGGTCACGTGATCCAGGGATGCTCCAACTGTTGTAAATACATTGGAGATTGTTGTGATGATCGTTAAGTGCGAGAATCGGTCCTAGGTCTTTTTTTTTTAAGTGCCGTTATTTGGAACGGTCACTAAATGGTTGTAAATCGAGGAGTACCTGTGCTTCTATCTCTGCGGCATCCTTTTATAATTCTGCTGCGGTTTCAGATAGTTGGACACCTCGCCCCCCCATCTCCGCTGCAAAGCCATTCCCATGAAAATCCTTCCCCCCCCCCAAAAAAATGTAGACAGGATTTTGCAACCTTGGCCCTCTCAAGTGGCGTGGACTTCAACGCCCAGAATTCCCCAGCCAGCACAACACTTTCCTACTTAATTGTCAGGCCATCTAGTCCACCTCTTATTACAAGTTATTAATTTAACTTGTCACGGGTTATTTTTTCCCCCCACTTTGCTGAAGTCAAAGATATATTACGTCTACTGCATTCCCACCATCTACTACGAAAAGTTTCTCAATCGAACCCAAGTGATATTTGTTCTTGTCCTATCCGTGCTGAATTCTGGCTGGGGAATTGAGGTCCACCAGTCTTAAAGTTCCCAAGGTTGGATATCCCTGCCGTAAATAGTTATGCCCCCCCAGCCCTTGGAGTCTGAATTTGAGGGGGAAGACCAGTCAGAACAGGAGCAGATCGAGGGGGGCGGCTTCGTTGGCTTGGGAGGAAAATGGGGAGGAGCAGACTGAGTCAGGACAGGGGCTTTCAGGATTGGGACGGCTCGTAGGCGGGGAGGAAGATGGGGACAAAAGAGGCTAAGCAGTGAACCTGAGAGACAGAGTTCAGGCGATGAGCAAGGACCACCCCCTCCTGATCCCCGAGCACGGAGAGTGGAGAGAAGGCGGGAACAGTGCAAACTGAGGTTACTCAGGAAGAGAACGCCCCTCTCCCCTTCACAGGGCACACCTGGGGATGGAGCCTTAAGGAGACACTGTGGGGTTAGGGTTAGGGTTAAGGTAAAGTCCCACCTGAGGATTTCGTCTTCCAGCTCCTTCAGCTTCCTCTTGCCGGCCGCAATGTTGAGCACCAGGGAGTCCTTCTGTTCCTCCAGTTCGGGCCGCTCTTTCCGGACCACGATGCCCAGCAGCTGGGCCTCCAGGCCCTGAAAGCAGGAGGGCGCCCAGTAGGTCCTGCACCCATCGCCCCCGGAGCCAGTAAAATGGCGCCATCCAGAGGGCACCGTGGGTGAAGCGCCTACCTACCTGCTCCTTGACGGCAAAATTGACGATGGTGGTCTGCGAGGAAGTCTCGGGCGTGTAGTGAGGGTTGGAGAGCTTGGTGGTGAGGTAGAATCGGAAGTCGGGGTGGTACTCCACCTCCTTGTCCCCCAGCCGGATCAGCAGGCGCCCACCTGCCAGACACCGGGAGGTGGGGAGGGTTAGGGGCCGGTCACGGGAGCCCAAGGGGGGAACTCCTGCTCCAAAGGGCTGCCCGGCACTCACCCACTTTGGTGACCGACTTGTTGAGGATGGGGGCGAGGGTGGGGTCCAGTTCCTCCTGCACGTTCTGCAGTAGCACCGGGGAGCCCAGCTGGATGGCCGACTCCAGGATGCGCAGGTAGTCGGGCATCTGCAGGTCGATGATCTTCAAGCCCTATTGGGCCAGGGGGGAAAGGAAAGGGTCTGGGTGGGGGTCCGGTGGGGAAGAGGGTCTCTGAGCCAGGGGCCATTTGGGGCCCATCGCTCACTGCTTCCGCCCCCCCCCCCAAAGTGTTAGGAGACTCCAGGGACTCACGCAGGGCACTCAGCTGGCAGGAACCGCTAGCACAGTCAAAGGGAGGGAGGGAGGGAGGGAGGAAGATGAGAATGAGAATGAGAAAGCGAAAGAGAATGAATGAGAAGAGGGGAAGGAAGGGAAGGAAGAAAGAAGGAAAGAAGGAGATGAGAATGAGAATGAATGAAAAGAAGGGAAGGAAGGAAGGAAGGAAAAGAAAAAAGGAAGGAAGGAAAGGAAGGAAGGAAAGAAAGAAGGAAGGAAGGAAGGAAAGAAAGAAGGAAGGAAAGAAAGAAGGAAGGAAGGAAGGAAGAAGAGAGGAAAGGAGGCAGGGTGGAAGTAGATGAGAATGCGAAGGGAGAAACAGGAAGGAAGGAAGAAAAGAAAGAAGGAAGGAAGGAAGGAAAGAAAGAAGGAAAGAAAGAAGAAGGAAGGAAGGAAGGAAGAAGAGAGGAAAGGCAGGGTGGTAGTAGATGAGAATGCGAAGGGAGAGACAGAGGAAAGAAGGAAGAAAAGGAAGGAAGGAAAGAAAGAAGGAAGGAAAGAAAGAAGGAAAGAAGAAAAGGAAGGAAGGAAGGAAGAAGAGAGGAAAGGAGGCAGGGTGGAAGTAGATGAGAATGCGAAGGGAGAGACAGAGGAAGGAAGGAAGAAAAGAAAGAAGGAAGGAAGGAAAGAAAGAAGGAAGGAAGGAAGGAAGAAGAGAGGAAAGACAGGGTGGAAGTAGATGAGAATGCGAAGGGAGACAGAGGAAGAAGGAAGAAAAGAAAGAAGGAAGGAAGGAAGAAGAGAGGAAAGGAGGAAGGAGGAAGTAGATGAGAATGAGAAGGGAGAGAGGAAGGAAGGAGATGAGAAAGAGAAGGAATGAGAAGAGGGGAAGGAAGGAAAGAAGGAAGGAAGGAAGGAGATGACAATGAGAAAGAATGAGAAGAGGGAAGGAAGGAAGGAGATGACAATGAGAATATGAATGAGAAGAGGAGAAGGAAGGAAAGGAAGGAAAGGAAGAAAGGAAGGAAGGAAGAAAGGAAAGAAAGAAAGAAGGAAGAAAGGGAAGGAAGGAAGGAAGGAAGGGGAAGAGAGGGAGGGAGGAGGGAGGAAGTAGATGAGAAGGGAGGGAGGAATGAAGGAGCTGGGATTGAGATGGAAAAAGTGAAGGAATGAATGGAGGAGGAGATGTGAATGAGAAGGAAGGAGGGAGCCAGAGGAATAGAGGGAGGGAGGAGTGGCCCCAGGACGAAGCTCTGCTGTGGGGAGGGGGGGGACGGACCAGGTCAAAAGTGGCTCCTCACTTTCTTGGCTTCCATGTTCTTGATCCACTTGGTGGCCTGGCATTGAGGGTCGATCATCAGAGGCCACCTAAGGAAAAAAACCCCAAAGGCCCCCTTAGAACCTCTTCGATTCCTGGGTGAGGAAGGGTCTCCAGATGGACTCCTTCAAAGCCCCTCAAAGCCCCCACCCCCACCCCACAGGCAGTCAGGCTGGCCGACCCAGAAGGACCTCACCGGTTTCCTCGCGTGACGATAATCCCGTTTTCGGTGGAGAAGTCGTCGGAGGGCAGTCCCTGGATGTTCCAGTTGCGCACCATGGTTGGGTTGGAGAGGAAGCTGTCGCAGGTGAACATGGGCGAGCAAGGCACGTGAAGCTGCCGGATCTGCGGGAGGAAAGCTGTGAGGAACCGAAGAGGGCCGGCAGCACCAGAACAGGATAAGTCCCGGCCATCTTCGATCCTAGGTAGAGGCAGATATTCCTCTCTCTGGGTCACAATGAGAATGTAGCTGCCGAACAAAACTCCTCATCGACAACAGGAAAGGCAGCCGGCCAGTAAAACACACTCTGCTAGCTCCATTCAGTTGGGATTATGGGGTTGTTAAAAGATGAGGATGATCTTGTGAATCACGGGGGCCTTCTTTGAGCACCTGGAACCTCTCCCAGATCCATCCCACGAGGGAAGTCATCACCAGGACGGGACAAAGATCTGGGTCTCAAAACCCCACCAGATCTTGTTGGAGGAGGAGGAAGAGGAGGAGAAGGACAGGGCAGGTGTGACCAGCGAGGTCCAAACGCCCAGAGGAACCTTCTCCAGCGAAGGAGAGGACAACCTCGAGAAGGCCAACTCTGGCCCCGGTGGCCAACCCGGAGAAGAGCAGGAGGTCCCTGTGGGTCTCACCTGCTTCATCCAGATGTGGGAGAGCATCTCATCTCGGTAAATGGACAGGAAGGGCCCCATGTAGGACACAAAGGCTGAGGCGAGGAGGCAGTCGCCCACCAGGTAGCCCAGGTCTTCCTCCAGGCCCTGAGGGGAATCGAGAACCGTTCAATTACCTCAGGAGGTCTCCGACCTGTGGACTTCAACTCCCAGAATTCCTCAGCCAGCGTGGAAGGGGAGGGGAGGGGAGGGGAGGAAAGGGAAGGCAGGGAGAAAGAGGGAGAGAGAGAAAGGAAGAAGGAAGGAAGAAAGGAAAAGGAAAAGGAAAAGGAAAAGGAAAAGGAAAAGGAAAGGAAAGGAAAGGAAAGGAAAGGAAAGGAAAAGAAGGGAAGGGAAGGGAAGAGAAGGGAGGGAGAAGAGGAGAAAGGAGAAAGAAAGGAGAAAGGAGAAAGGAAAGGAAAGGAAAGGAAAGGAAAGGAAAGGAAAGGAAAGGAAAGGAAAGGAAAGGAAAGGAAAGGAAAGAAGGAAAGGAAAGGAAAGGAAAGGAAAGGAAGGAAGATAGAAAAAGGAGGAAAGAAGGAAAGGAAAGGAAAGGAAAGGAAAGGAAAGGAAAGGAAAGAAGGAAAGGAAAGGAAAGGAAAGAAGGAAAGGAAAGGAAAAGAAAGAAGGAAAGGAAGAAAGATAGAAAAAGGAGGAAAGAAGAAAAGGAAAGGAAATTAAAGGAAAGGAAAGGAAGATAGAAAAAGGAGGAAAGAAGGAAAGGAAAGGAAAGGAAAGGAAATGAAAGGAAGATAGAAAAAGGAGGAAAGAAGGAAAGGAAAGGAAAGGAAGATAGAAAAAGGAGGAAAGAAGGAAAGGAAAGGAAAGGAAGATAGAAAAAGGAGGAAAGAAGGAAAGGAAAGGAAGATAGAAAAAGGAGGAAAGAAGGAAAGGAAAGGAAGATAGAAAAAGGAGGAAAGGAAAGGAAAGGAAAGGAAAGGAAGATAGAAAAAGGAGGAAAGAAGGAAAGGAAAGGAAAGGAAGACAGAAAAAGGAGGAAAGAAGGAAAGGAAAGGAAAGGAAAGGAAAGGAAAGGAAAGGAGATGGGAGGGAAGGCTGGCTGAGGAATTCTGGGAGCCGAAGTCCACAAGTCGTAATGTTGCCAAGGTTGGAGAGCCCTGAGAGTTCACGTGGGTGAAGGGCTTACCTTGACGGTCTCCTCCCAGCGGATCTTCTCCCCGGCCAGGCCGGAGACCAGCTTGTCAGCCCGGTCGAGTTTGATCTCCATCTCCTCGGACTTCTTGCGCAGCTCCTCCTTCTGCGCCAGCTTCTCCTCGTACTCCTTCTTCAGCATCTCCAGCTTCTCTGCAACCTGGTGGGTGGGAGGCGGAAGAAGTCTCAGGGCTATCCACCGAGACCCTTCCTTCCTTCCTTCCCTTCTCTCTCCTTCCTTCCTTCCCTCCCATCCCTCCTTTCTGCCTCCCTCTCCTTCCTTCCGCTCCTTCGTTCCCCTTCACATTACCCTCTTTTTCCCATCTCTATTCCTTCCTTCCTTCCTTCTCCTTCGCATCTCCTTCCCTTCTTCCAATCTGTATTCCCTCCTTCCTTCCCATCCCTCTTTTGCCTCCTTCCTTCCTCTCTCCTTCCTTCCTTCCGCTCCTTCTTCCCCTTCACATCACCCTCTTTTTTCCCATCTCTCTATTCCTTCCTTCCTTCCTTCCTTCTCCTTCGCATCTCCTTCCCTTCTGCCAATCTGTATTCCCTCCTTCCTTCCCATCCCTCTTTTTGCCTCCTTCCTTCCTCTCTCCTTTCTGCCTTCCTCTTCCTTCCTTCCTTTTTCCCTCCATCCCTTCCTTCTCCTTCCCATCTCCCTCCCCTCTTCCCTCCTTTTTCCCATCTCTATTCCTCCTTCCTTCTCCTTCGCATCCCTTCTTCCAATCTGTATTCCCTCCTTCCTTCCCATCCCTCTCCTTCCTTCCTTCCTCTCTCTTTTCTGCCTTCTTCTCCTTCCTTCCTTTTCCCCTCCGTCCCTTCCTTCTCCTTCCCATCTCCCTCCCTCCTTCTTCCAACCTTTATTCCTTCCTTCCTTCTCCTTCGCATCCCTTCTTCCAATCTGTATTTCCTCCCTCCTTCCTTCCCATCCCTCTCCTTCCTTCCTTCCTCTCTCCTTTCTGCCTTCTTCTCCTTCCTTCCTTTTTCCCTCCTTCCCTTCCTTCTCCTTCCCATCTCCCTCCCTCCTTCTTCCAACCTTTATCCTTCCTTCCTTCTCCTTCGCATCCCTTCTTCCAATCTGTATTTCCTCCCTCCTTCCTTCCCATCCCTCTCCTTCCTTCCTTCCTTCCTCTCTCCTTTCTGCCTTCTTCTCCTTCCTTCCTTTTTCCCTCCTTCCCTTCCTTCTCCTTCCCATCTCCCTCCCTCCTTCTTCCAACCTTTATTCCTTCCTTCCTTCTCCTTCGCATCCCTTCTTCCAATCTGTATTTCCTCCCTCCTTCCTTCCCATCCCTCTCCTTCCTTCCTTTCTTCCTCTCTCCTTTCTGCCTTCTTCTCCTTCCTTCCTTTTTCCCTCCATCCCTTCCTTCTCCTTCCCATCTCCCTCCCTCCTTCTTCCAACCTTTATTCCTTCCTTCCTTCCTTCTCCTTCCCTTCCCTCCAGGACCAGAGGACTTCCACCACTGCAGTAGCCCATCCATCCCTTGGGGGCGGAGGGAGGTCAGTGTTTCTCAACCTTAGCAACTTTGTGGACTTCAACTCCCAGAATCCATGCTGGCTGGGGGAATTCTGGGAGTCGAAGTCCACACACAGCTTACAGTGGCCAAGGTTGAGGAGCAGCTCTGTCCCCGGGTTTCCTTCTGCCACAACCGAACCGACCTCTCGCAGCCGTTCCTGGGCTTCGGCCTGGGCTGCCTGCTTCTCTGCCAGCTGCGCCAAGGCGGCGTTCATGCGAGCACGCTTGGGCTCCACCACGCGGTAGATGCGCCCGTACATCTGGGGAGAGGGGAGACCTTAGCAAGGTGTGGATGAAGGCCGAGAGAAGGCCGTCCCTTCCCCGAAGAGCCCACCTCACCTCCATGGCTCGCACCCACATGCACAGAGACTTGGCGGCCACCGAGACCCGCCCGATGATGTCCGGCTGGAAGTCCGGCTGGGAGCAGTAGGCGCTGATCTTCTTGAGGACTTTGTCGGAGATATTGTCCTTGTCGAAGTACACCAGTTGCTTGATGAAGTTGGGCTCTCCTGGAGAAGAAGCCAGGTGGGGTCAGAGAGGCCCAGTCATCAAATCATCCCACCGGGAGTGGTACTCACTTACTTTCCCTACCGGTTCGCAAATGTGAGCGCGCAGGCGGGCGGGGGTGCTCCCTCCGCTCACACACGCCCCGTCCGCACATGAGCTTTGCTTGCATGCATGTGTGCGGCTTGAAAACATGCCTAAATAGGACAGCATAGTGCCGGAGCCAGGTCGCTACAAACAGTTCCGGCGAACCGGTCCAAACCGGTGAATACCATCTCTGCATTCCACCCATCCTCTCCTCCCCGGGAGAAACCACGTTGAGGTCCACCCTCGGAGGAGCTGTCCACCACAGAGGAAGGCAAGGCAGATGACACCCATTTGGACCTCAATGTTGTGGCTCTGTTGCCTGAGCCTGGGCTATCGACAGATGCAGACTCCGAGAGTGAGGGAGAGGAGTTGGCAAGGCCTCCCACTCCAGGACCCTCCTCTCTGGCAATGCCTCCGGAGGACACCGAAGGCCAAGAGATAGGCCCAGAGCCAAGCACGTCCCCGCAGCCACAGGTGGACAGCGACGAAGGAGATAAGTGCTGGCTGGATCCTCGGCAGCGGCGCAGGGAGAAGCGTGTGCAGCAGAGGGGAAGGCGTGCCAGAGATTAGCTGAGTCACTGGACCACACCGCACAGGGTATAAATGTGGGTGTGGTGGCTGGTTCAGTTTGTGATGAGCAAAAACTAGAAATAATCCATGATCTCTGCGTAACTGGACTTCTGCCTGCCTTGTCGGACTGCATTTGGACTAATCCTTGTATTGTTGAAACTCTGCCTGTTTTATCGGAATGCTTGCAGTCTAATCTTTGTTTTGTATGAGTAAAGTCTGAATTGGCAGCTAGCCACTGGGTTGCTGCCAGCTTTATCTTCAAAGATTTTGTCGTGTGGCTTATTAACTCCGGGCCGTCTGTGGGGGTGCGGGTGTGGGACGGGGACAGAACACTCAAGGTGGGTTCCTCGGGACCTCTTACCTAGCTGCTTCTTGGCTTCCGTCCAGGTGGGCTCATTGCCCCGCAGGATCATGACGGCCTGCATCACGGTCTCCACCAGCGTAGGTGGCCGGCCGTAGGACTTGATCTCCGTCAGGTCCTTCTTGTTGAGGGACTCCAAAGCCTGAGGAGGCACAGGGCGGGTCAGGCAAGTTCCAAAACTCATCCACAGCTTCTCCCCCAACCGTCAAGGTGCCAACCTTCTATGGTGGCCTTAGAGCAGGGGTGTCAAACTCGATTTCATTGAGGGCCGCATCAGGGTTGTGTTTGATCTTGGAGGGCTGGTGTGTGTGTGTGTGTGTGTGTGTGTGTGTAGGCGTGGCCATGGTGGGTGTTTGACACAGGCTCAAGATGCATTTTTTCCCCCTTCTCTCCTTTCTTTCCACAGTTCTTTCCTATAACCATTTTCCTATCCCTTCTACCAACCTGATATTACGGGCAAACATTTATCGCTTATTCTTCATACTCCACTACACTTTTTATTTCTAAATTTGCACCCCATTGTTTAATAGTAAATTGCTTTTCCAGGCAGAACAAGCTATTTCTGCTATTGTATTTTTATTATCCAACTAATAAATACAAATACAATCGCATACATAACATGATCGTACGAGATCGAAGAGTGGAGGTAAATTTCCAGAGTAGTAAATAGGGACGGCTGTCAATTATAGACAGTCGATTAAATGGACCTACACAGGATGTAAAATCGGGCATTAAACTGTAGTATTAACACAGGAGGTTGCTTGCTTTCTATCCAGATTAGGTGCTTACTCGAGGCCACGTAATTGTTAATCCAGTCCAATCTAGTCCTCCTGCAGCACTCTGCTGGCCGAAAACGGGCCAAGTGCTGCTGGAGGCTTGGGAGGCCGAAAACGGGCCTCCTCGGTCTCCAGCAGCACTCTGCTGGCCAAAAACGGGCCACCCAGAGGCCGTGCATGGCTCCCGCACGGCCCATTTTGCTTGACAGAGTCACCACGGGACTGATATTTCCAGGCTGGCCCCACGGGCCAGATTTAAGTCCTCCCACCCCCGGTGGGCCAGATCTGGCCCGCCGGTCTTGAGGGAGGTGTCCTCTTCTCTCCTACCTTCATGGCTTCCTCCAGGGCGGGCAACGCTTCCTCCAGATCCTTCTGGGCATTGTCAGCCAACGCTTTGCACTTGATCTCCTCGGCAGCGATCTTCTCGCTGTTGGCCGACACCGTCTACGGGAGAACGAAGAAGAGAGAGGGTGATGACGACGCCCATCACGGGTTCGGAGGGGAAACGGGCGGCGGCCAAACCTCGGACGCTCACCTTCTGTTGCTCATCGGCTTCCCGCTTCTGCTGGACAATGATCACCAGGTATTCCTCGCACTGTTTCTGGAATTCGGCCACCTTCCTCCGGGCCTCCTCCAGCTCCAAGGTCATCACCTCGACTTTTTCTCGGGTCTCGTCGATTTTGAAGAGGCCGTTGCGAAGTTTGTTGGCCTGATCGGAAAGCTCTTTCCGTTTCTCGGCCAGAAGTCTGCAAAAAGGGGTGGACAGGAGAAAGCTCGTGCTGCGGGGACCGTTGTCCGAGGCCTGGATCACTTGCAAGGGTCGTTTGACCCTTTGACTCTCCTGTCCCCAAGCTGGGGTCTTTCTCCTGGGAAGAGGGAGTATTCCACCATCCCGCCTGCCGAGAGCTCCAAATCCCCCCTTACTTCTTGTAGCCAGACACCAGCTCCAAGTAGTTGGTGGGTGTCACGTAGTTATGGCGACGGAGTTCCAGTAGCATCTTGTGAGAGTATCTGGCCACTGACCAGTGCATGGTGACGAAGATTTTAGCCACTCGCTTTTGCATCTAGGCGAAAGTGAGAGTACAGAATAATAGCGTTGGAAGGGATCTTGGAGGTCATTAGTCCAAGCCCCTGCTCAAGCAGGAGACCCTAGACACATGATGGTGAACCTATGGCACACGTGCCGCAGGTGGCACGCAAAGCCATATCAGTGGGCACGTGAGCTTAGCTCCGCTGATTTTCGGTCCTTCTGGGCCCACCAGAAGTAGGGAAACAGGTTGTTTCCTGCCTCCAGAGGGCCTCAGGGGGTGGTGGGGAAGGCCTGTTTTTCTCTCTCACCTGGCTCCAGAGCCTTTCTAGGAGTCTGGGGAGGGTGAAAACAGCCTTCCCCACTCCCCCAGAGGTCCTCCAGAGGCCAAAAATGGCCCGTTTCTGGCCTCTGGAAGACCTCCGGGGTGGGGTGGGGAGGCCGTTTTTGCCCTCTCCAGACTCCTAGAGAGGCTCTGGAGGCTGGGGACAGCAAAAAACGGGCCTTTCAGTCTCACTGGAAGTTGGCAAACGGGCCGTTTCTGGCCTCTGGAAGACCTCCGGGGTGGGGTGGGGAGGCCGTTTTCGCCCTCCCCAGACTCCTAGAGAGAGAAAAACGGGTCTACCAGGCCATCGCGTGCCAGGAGCGGGGAGGGGGGGTGTCAGGCGCGCACACGCAGAGGGGGGGCACATAAAATTATGGGTGTGGGCACATGCAAGCGCAACACCTCCGCCCCCCCTCCTGGCACGTGATGGCAAAAAGGGGTCTCCAAACTTGGTAGCTTCAAGTTGCCTGGACTTCAACTCCTAGAATTCCCCGAGCCTAATGCATTCCTTTTGCTATGTACACCTGTTGTGGCTCTCTTACTCTCTTGTAATCCCTTCCTCTGCAAACTCTCCACTCTAGAGGTTAGGAGAGAAAAAAATACAGGCATGGCTGGTTGAGGAATTCTGGGAGCCGAAGTCCATAAATCTTAAAGTTACCAAGCTTGGAGACCCCTGCCCTATACCATTCCAGACAAATGGCTATCCGGTCTCTTCTTAAAAGCCTCCAGTGATGGAGCACCCATAACTTCTGGTGGCAGGCTGTTCCACTGGTTAATTGTCCTCACTGTCAGGAAATTCCTCCTTAATTCCAGGTTGCTTCTCTCCTTGATGGGTTTCCATCCTTTGCTTCTTGTCCTGCCTTCTGGTGCTTTGGAGAATTGGTAGATCCCCTCTTCTTTGGGGCAGCCCTATCATGTCTCCTCTACTCCTTCTTTTCATTAAACTAGACATAGCCAATTCCTGAAACTGTTTTTTGTATGTTTTATCCTCCATTCCCCTAATCATCTTTGTTGCTCTTCTCTGCACTCTTTCTAGAGTCCCAACGTATGTTTATATCGTGGTGACCAAAACTGGACACGGTATTCCAAGCGTGGTCTTACCAAGGCCTTATAAAGTGGTATTAACACTTCACGTGACATGTATCCCCATTGTGGTTCGCTTACTCTCTTCTAATCCCTTCCTCTGCGATCTCTCTACTTTAGGGGGTAGGAGGAAAAAAACCCCAGGCATGGCTGGCTGGGGAATTCTGGGGTCTTACTAAGGCCTTATAAATTGGTACTAATACTTCACATGATATGTATCCCCATTGTGGTTTGCTCACTCTCTTCTAATCCCTTCCTCTGCAATCTCTCCACTTTAAGAGGGTAGGATAAAAACAACAACAACAGCATGGCTGACTGGGGAATTCTGGGGTCTTACTAAGGCCTTATAAATTGGTACTAATACTTCACATGATATGTATCCCCATTGTGGTTTGCTCACTCTCTTCTAATCCCTTCCTCGCAATCTCTCCACTTTAAGAGGGTAGGATAAAAAAAACAACAGCATGGCTGACTGGGGAATTCTGGGGTCTTACTAAGGCCTTATAAATTGGTACTAATACTTCACATGATATATCCCCATTGTGGTTTGCTCACTCTCTTCTAATCCCTCCTCTGCAATATCTCCACTTTAAGAGGGTAGGATGAAAAAAAAACAAACCCCGCATGGCTGACTGGGGAATTCTGGGGTCTTACTAAGGCCTTATAAATTGGTACTAATACTTCACATGATCTTCATTCTATCCCTCTGTTACGGCAGCCTAGGATTGCATTGGCTTTTTTGGCAGCTGCCGCACAGGGCTGGCTCATATTTAAACGATTGTCCACTCGGAAACCCAGATCTCGAAGCCCCTGCCAGGTTTTTGAAGGATCTCCTCTTGGATGGGCGGTGGGCTCTCACCGTGTCGAGGCTGCCCTTTTCCACCGTGCCCAAATCGACGCCTTCCAGATACTTCTCCGCCACCTCCAGCAGGGCTTCCTTCGGCCACTCCGAGAACCAGTCGATGGTGGTGCAGTTCACCAAAGCAGGATACTGGCGAATCCGGTTCCTGGGGAAGAACAAGAGAATAAGCAGAGTTCGACGGGGCCTTGGAGGTCTTCTAGGCAGGAGATCCTATACCCGTGATGGCGAACCTATGGCACGGGTGGCACAGGTGGCACGTGGAGCCATATCGGTGGGCACGCGGGCTCAGCTCCGGCACACATGCGTGCGCCGGCCAGTTGATTTTTTGGGCCTTCTGGGCCCACCAGAAGTCAGGAAACATGCTGTTTCCAACCTTTGGAGGGCCTCTAGGAAGGCTGGGGAAGGCTGTTTTTGCCCTCCCCAGGCTCCTAGAAAGGCTCTGGAGGCTGGGGAGAGCAAAAAATGGACCTACTGGGCCCACCGTGCCACCGCGTGCCAAAAGCAAGGGGAGCATGGGAGGGGCGGGGCGCATAGAATTATGGATGTGGGCACACGTGCCTGTGTCGCCTCCGCTCCCCCTCCCCCCCCACTTTTGGCACGCGATGGCAAAAAGGTTAGCCATCACTGTCCTATACCATTTCAGACAAATGGCTGTCCAGTCTCTTCTTCAAAACCTCCAGTGTTGGAGCATTCACAACGTCTGGTGGCAGGCAGTTCCCCTGGTTAATCGCTCTCACAGTCAGAAAAAAAAAATCTCTTTAATTCTAGGTTGGATCTCTCTTTGATAGTCTCCCACCCATCGCTTCTTATCCAGAATAGAATACAGCATAGCAGTGCCGGAAGGGACCTTGGAGGTCTTCTAGTCTAACCTGACCAGGGGGTTGGACTCGATTCTGATTGACATAGTACGAGAGAAAAGCAGCTTCCCACCATCGCTCCAGAGCCACCCCCCTAGGAGTGGGTTCGAGCATCAGCTAATGCTTTCCACCACTGGGAGGGAGCTTCAAAGACTACGGTTAGTCCTCAACTTACGACCACAATCGAAACCAACATTTGTTGCTAAGTGAGACAGCTGCCTGTTTCGACCTCGACTGCTTGTCTGAAGGCCGCAAAGGCCCTTTTTTCTCCATGCCTCAACCTGGGGCTCTGCCTGGCCCCCAGCCTCTAAAAACCCACCCTACACGTTTCTCCCATTCACCAGGCCTGTGGCTCTTTGGCCACTGGAGGTCGCTGTTGCTCCACGCAGAATCTTCTCCCCACCTTGCCTAAATGCCGCCCACCCCAAACGCCTCGCCGGAAGGGCCCGGAAAGCCTCACCTGAAGGGGTCTCCCAGAGGTCTCAGGCAATGGTGGGATCCTGCCGGTTTAAGAACCGGTTCGGTGATCACGTGTTTTGCGTGCGCACTGTACATGCGTGCGCAGTTTTGACAAAACTAAACTTCCGCGTTCCTTCTGGGGAGTAACGCGGCTGATGCGCGGCAATCAGCTCTGCCGCGTGAATCAGCTGAGAGGATAAAGATAAGTAAAGCAGGCCCACCTGATTGTCGGAACGAACCGGTTCGCTCTCTGCTGATCGTTGGAGCTACCGGTACGCCCGAACCGGTCTGAACCGGCTGAATCCCACCTCGGTCTCAGGCCCAGAAAGCCTCACCTGAAGCGGTCCCTCAAAGGTCTCAGGCAGTGGTGGGATCCTGCCAGTTTAACAACCGGTTCGGTGATCAAGTGTTTCTTGCGCACAGCGTACGCGCAGTTTTGACAAAACTAAAGTTCAGCGTTACTTCTGGGGATTAACACAGCTGATCCGTGGCAATCAGCTCTGCCGCACGAATCAGCTGAGAAGATATAGGTAAGTAAAGCGGGCCCACCTGATCGTCAGAGCTACTGATACGCCTGAACCGGTCCAAACCGGCTAAATCCTACCCCTGGTCTCAGGCCCAGAAAGCTTCACTGAAGGGGTCCCCCATAGGTCTCAGGCAATGGTGGGATCCTGCCGATTTACCAACCGGTTCGGTGATCACGTGATTCGCGCGCGTGCTGTGCCCGAGTGCACAGTTTTGACAAAACTAACTTCTGTGTTACTTCTGGGGATTAACATAGTTGATGTGCGGCAATCCGCTCTGCCGCGCGAATCAGTTGAGAGGATAAAGATAAGTAAAGCAGGCCCACCTGATCGTCGGAACAAACCGGTTCGCTTCCAGCTGATCGTCAGAGCTACCGGTAGGCCCAAACCGGTCTGAACCAGCTGAATCCCAACCCTGGTCTCAGGCCCCGAAAGCCTCACCTGAAGGGATCCCCCCGAGGTCTCAGGCAATGGTGGGATCCTGCCGGTTTAACAACCGGTTCGGTGATCACGTGTTTTGCGTGCACGCTGTGCAACTGTGCACAGTTTTGACAAAACTATACTTCCGCGTTACTTCTGGGGACTAACACAGCTGATGCGGGCAATCCGCTCTGCCGTGCAAATCAGCTGAGAGGATAAAGGTAAGTAAAGCACGCAGGGGCGGGCGGGCCCACCTGATCGTCGGAGCGAACCAGTTCGTTCCGAGCTGATCGTTGGAGCTACCGGTACACACAAACCGGTCCGAACCGGTCCGAACCTATTCGAACTGGCTGAATCCCACTCCTGGTCTCAGGCCCAGAAAGCCTCACCTGAAGGGGTCCCCCACAGGACTCAGGCACAGCACGACGTGAAGATTGTTCCGGACTCTTTCGATCAGGTAGGCAAACAGGCTGTCCTGACTCTCCTGGATCCCCTCGGCCCGGGCTGCGTCGATGATGTGGCTTTGGATCTGGGGGGGTGGGATGGGGGGAGGAGGAGAAAAAAAATCATTCAGTTTTGGTCGCCACAATATAAAAAAAAAATACATTGAGACTTTGGAAAAAGTACAGAGAAGAGCAACGAAGAGGAATAGGGGACCGGAGGACAAAACACACGAAGAACGGTTGCAGGAATTTAATGAAAAGAAGGAGTACGGGGGACATGATAGCATCTTCCAATATTTGAAGGGCTGCCCCAAAGAAGAGGGGGGGTCCACCTATTCTCCAAAGCCCCTGAAGGCAGGAGAAGAAGAATCAACGGATGGAAACTATTCAAGGAGAGAACTAAGGAGAAACTTCCTGACAGTGAGGGCAATTAACCAGCGGAACAGCCTGCCACCGGACGTTGTGGGTTGCTCCATCACTGGAGGTTTTGAAGAAGAGACTGGACAGCCACTTGTCTGAAATGGGATAGGGTGGTTAGACTAGAAGACCTCCAAGGTCCCTTCCCACTCTCTGTTATTCTAGATCGACCGTTTTTCTTTACTGTCTTCTGTCCAGCTCTTGAGATTTTTGTTTGCTTGTTTTTTTTTGCCCAATTTTAAGAGAATCACAGAGTTGGAAGGGAGCTTAGAGGTCTTCTAGTCCAACCCCCTGTTCAAGCAGGAGACCTTCTAGCATTGGAGCACCCACAACTTCTAGTGGCAAGCCGTTCCACTGGTTAACTGTTCTCACTGTCAGGAAATTTCCCCTTATTTCTAGGTTGCTTCTCTCCTTGATGAGTTTCCATCCGTTGCTTCTTCTCCTGCCTTCTGGTGCTTTGGAGAATAGGCTGACTCCCCCTCCTCTCCTTTGGGGCAGCCCCTCAAATATCGGAAGACCTCTATCGTGTCCCCCCTAGTCCTCCTTTTCATTAAACTCAACATATTCAATTCCAGCCGCCGTTCTTTGTTTTGTTTTCTCCTCCAATCCTCCTTGTGGCTCTTCTCTGCACTCTTTTCAGAGTCTTTTGGTCTATTCCCGTGATGGCGAACCGGTGGCACACGTGTCACAGGTGGCACGAAGAGCCCTCTATGTGGGAACGCGTGCCACCGCCAGCTGTTTTTCTGGTCTCCGCGGGCGCCGGAGCGCCAGAAAACAGCCTGAAAACAGCCCGAAAATGGTCAAAAGCAGCCTGAAAACAGCCCGAAAAACGATCTGAAAACAGCCTGGAAAATGGCCCGGAAAATGGCCTGAAAACGGTCAGAGAAATGGTCTGAAAACAGCCCAAAAATGGCCTGAAAATGGCCTGAAAAACAGTCCGAAAACAGCCCAAAAAATGGCCTGAAAACAGCCTGGAAAATGGTCCAAAAACGGCCTGAGAAATAGGCTGAAAACAGCCTGAAAATGGCCTGAAAACAACCCAAAAAATGGCCTGAAAACAGCCCGAGAAATGGCCTGAAAAACAGTCCAAAAACAGCCCAAAAAATGGCCTGAAAACAGCCTGGAAAATGGCCTTAAAACGGCCCGAGAAATAACTTGAAAACAGCCTGAAAACAGCCTGAAAAATGGCCCGGAAAATAGCCTGAAAACAGCCTGAGAAATAGCTTGAAAACAGCCTGAAAACAGCCCAAAAGATGGCCTGAAAACAGCCTGAAAATGGCCTGAAAACAGCCTGAAAATGGCCTGAACAACAGTCCAAACACAGCCCCAAAAATGGCCTGAAAACAGCCTGAAAATGGCCTGGAAAATGGCCCAGAAAATGGCCTGAAAACAGCCCGAGAAATAACTTGAAAACAGCCTTAAAACGGGCTGAAAAACAGTCCAAAAACAGCCCAAAAATGGCCTGAAAACAGCCTGAGAAATAGCTTGAAAACAGCCTTAAAACGGCCTGAAAAACAGCCCAAAAGATGGCCTGAAAATGGCACGGAAAATGGCCTGAAAAACAGTCCAAACACAACCCAAAAAATGGCCTGAAAACAGCCTGGAAAATGGCCCAGAAAACGGCCTGAAAACGGCCCGAGAAATAACTTGAAAACGGCCTGAAAACAGCCTGAAAAACGGTCCAAAAACAGCCTGAAAAATGGCCTGAAAACAGCCTGAAAAATGGCCTGAAAACAGCCTGAGAAATAGCTTGAAACAGCCTTAAAACGGCCTGAAAAACGGTCCAAAAACAGCCCAAAAAATGCCCGGAAAATAGCCCGGAAAATGGCCTGAAAACAGCCTGAAAACGGTCCAAACACAGCCCAAAAACGGCCCGAAAACAGCTTGAAAAACGGCCGGAAAACAGCCCGAAAAACGGCCCAAAAACAGCCCAAAAAACGCACGTTCCAGTTAGGGCCCTCGGTGCCGAAAAAGTTGGCCATCACTGGTCTACTCGACGTCTCAGAGCCTCCGCTAAGCCGAAAGAGGACAAGGACGGCTGGGCCGGGGGGGAAATTCTTGCCCCCTGTCACACACCTCCTCAAACTCATCCGATTTGTAGAGGTTGGGCACTTCCCCGGAGCTCAGGATGTTGTTGATGTCCTCCAAGAAGCATTCATCCGCTATCTGAGTGTCCACGAAGAGGAAGGTGGTGGGCTTCAGGTCAACCCCGGTCTGCCGGTACAGCTTCTTGATGTCTGGAGAGAAAGGACACCTCTTGTGAGGACCACAGGATCAGTAAGGCCTCCTGAGGAGAACGTGGAAGAACATTCTTCGCCTCCAACGAGGTGAGGGACCTGCTCACCTTCTCGGAATTCTTGTTTGCGGTACTGGCGGGAGACCTCGATCTGGAACGTGTAGTACTCGCAGATGGAGGAGGCCAAGCGCGCCAGGCTCTGGCGCCCGCTCCCTCCGATGCCCACCAGCAGCATGTTGCCACGGGGCTGGCTGATCACCCGGACGATGCGGGTTACTACGAGAGAGGAGGGGAGAGAGTCACGGCAAAGGGGGCAAGCCGAGGGGGACAAGCGACCTCGGACCAGCCATGATCTCCAGAAGTTGTGGTTGCTCCATCACTGGAGCTTTTTAAGAAGAGAGAGGCCGGACAACAATTTTCTCTGAAGTGGTATGGGGTCTCCTGCTTGAGCAGAGGTCAGACTAGAAGACCTCCAAGGTCCCTTCCAGCCCTAGGATTCTATGATTCTATATGAGATAGATGAAATAGATGAGAGAGAGAAACAGAGACAGAGATGATAGATAGATAGATAGATAGAGAGAGAGAGAGAGAGAGAGAGAGAGAGAGAGAGAGAGAGAGAGAGAGAGAGATATGGATGGATGGAAGGATGGACGAACAGACAGACAGACAGACAAATAGACAAATAGATAATAGATAGATGTTGGATAGATAATGCCTGGATGGATGGATGGATGGATGGATGGATGGATGGATGGATGGATGATAGATAGATAGATAGATAGATAGATAGATAGATAGATAGAGTAGATAGAAAGAAAGAAAGGAAGGAAGGAAGGAAGGAAGGAAGGGAGGGAGGGAGGAAGGAAGGAAGGAAGAAAGGAAGGTGATAGACAGACATATGATGGATGGATGGATGGATGGATGGATAAATAAATGATGGATAGAATGATAGCTAGGTAGCTAGAAACAGATAGATAGATAGATAGATAGATAGATAGATAGATAGACAGACAGACAGATAGACAGACAGACAGACAGACAGACAGACAGGGTAGATTGACAGACAGACAGACAGACAGACGGAAGGAAGGAAGGAAGGAAGGAAAGAAAGAAAGAAAGAAAGAAAGAAAGAAAGAAAGAAAGATACAGACGTATGATGGATGGATAGATAAAATGGATAGAATGATATCTATAGCTAGCTAGCTAGCTAGCTAGATAAATAGCTAGACAGACAGACAGAAAGAAAGAAAGAGAAAGAAAGAAAGAAAGAAAAAGAGAGGGAGAGAAAGAAAGAAAGATAGATACAGACATATGATGGATGGATGGATAGATAAATGATGGATAGAATGGTATCTATAGCTAGCTAGCTAGACAGACAGACAGAAAGAAAAAGAAAGAAAGGAAGGTAGGAAGGAAGTAAGGGAGAGAGAGAGAGAGAGAAAGAAAGAAAGAAAGAAAGAAGGAAAGAAAGAGAAAGATGATAGACAGATGTATGATGGATGGATGGATGGATGGATGGATGGACGGACAGACGGATGGACAGACAGACAGATAGATAAACAATAGCACTTAAATTTATATACTACTTCATAGTTACAGCCCTCGCTAAGCAGTTTATAAGAATTAACCTTTTCTCCAAAGCCCCTGAAGGCAGGACAAAAAAAAAAAAAAAAACAAACAGATGGAAACTAATCAAGGAGAGAAACAACCTGGAACTAAGGAGAAACTTCCTGACGGTGAGGACAATTCACCAGCGGAACAGCTTGCCACCAGAAGTTGTGGGTATGCTCCATCACTGGAGGCTTTTGAAGAAGAGACCGGACAGCCAATCATCTGTGACGGGATATAGGGTCCCTTGCTTGAGCGGGGGGTTGGACTAGATGACCTCCGAGGTCCCCACCCACTCTGCTTATCCTGTTCTATCCACGTTCTTGTCCGCCGCGCCCCCCCACCCCCACTAGGGGGGAAACGCAGGCTGCCCCACTCACTGTGCTCGATGGCGTCCCGGAAGAGCACCAGCCTCATGGGTACCACGCCTGGGGTGCGGTTGTAGTCCCCCAGCGCCCGCTCCATCTCGGCCTTCAGGATGCCCATGTCTATCATGTCCTCGTACACGTTGCGCATGAAGTCACCTGTGGGAGGAAACGGCACCCTTTCTGGATTGGGGGGGGGGGCGATGGGGGGGGGGGGTGTTTCTTTATCTTTATCTTTATCTTTATCTTTATCTTTATCTTTATCTTTATCTTTATCTTTATCTTTATCTTTATCTTTATTTGTGTTCTGTCCCCAACCACACGCACACCCCCCAACAGACATTCAAGAGTTAAAGACCAAACCAGCCGGCAAAATCCTTATCCTTATGATAACGGAACTTGGCAACAACCTAGTGGCTGCCTGCCAAGAGTTTATTATTTACGAAGAGGAGAGATAACTTCTCCCCGCTTCTGGTACATCAAAAGAAACAGCTCAATAATTACGGAGTCAATCAAGTCCAGAGATAATCCAGCAAAATCTATAGCAAAAGTCTGGCAATGCAGAATGACGTGGAAGCTTTCAGCTTTGTTCGTCACAAGGTTTGAATGGCCACTACGCTCCCTTTTATATCCTGTGGGGTGTGGTCCAGTGACTCAGCCTAATCTCGGGCACGCCTTTTCTTCTGTTGCACACGCTTATCTCTGCGACGCTGGCGTGGATCCAGCCAAGACTCATTACCCTCATCACTGTCCACCTGTGGCTGCGTGGATGTGCTTGGCCCCGGCCCTATCTCTTGCCCTTCAGCGGACACCGAAGGCATTGCCAGAGAGGAGGGTCCTGGAGAGGGAGGCCTTGCCAACTCCTCTCCTTCACTCTCGGGAGTCCTCTCCTGCCGATGACACAGGCTCAGGTAACGGAGCCACAACAATTTGATTTGTATACTGCCCTACTCCCGAAGGACTCAGGGCAGTGAACAGCCAAACAGTAAAAATACATAAATACAAAATTTAAAAAAACAGGATAAAATCGAATTAAACAATTTGGCCCAGACAGATTTAAAACACCCAATCATTTAAAACACAGATTAAAATTTGCATATTAAAAAGAAAGGAGTGAAAAGATTAGGCCAGGCCCGCCTGGTGGAATAAAAAGGTCTTGAGAGCGCGGCGGAAGATGCATAGATCCGGGATCCTCCGTATCTCCGGGGGGAGCTCATTCCAGATAGTAGGTGCCCCCACAGAGAAGGCTCTCCCCCTGGGGGCCGCCAGTCGACATTGTTTGGCTGATGGCACCCGGAGGAGCCCCTCTCTATGAGAGCGTACCGGCCGGTGGGAGGCTGTTTGTGGTAGTAGGCGGTCCCGTAAATAACCAGGTCCTAAGCCATGGAGCGCTCTAAAGGTGGTAACCAAAACCTTGAAGCGCACACGGAAGACCACCGGGAGCCAGTGCAGCTCGCGCAGGAGAGGTGTCACACGGGAGCACCATGTTGCTGCCATAACCACCCGCGCGGCCGCACTCTGCGCCAGTTGGAGCCTCCGGGTGCTCCTCAAGGGGAGCCCCATGTAGAGAGCATTACAATAGTCCAGGTGGGAAGTGATGAGGGCATGAGTGACCGTGCGTAAGGAGTCCCGATCCAGAAAGGGACGCAACTGGCGGATCAGGCGAACCTGATGAAAAATCCTCCCGGACACGGCCGTCAAATGCTCTTCTAAAGACAGCCGTAAATCCAGGAGGACGCCCAAGTTGCGAGCCCTCTCCGTGGGGGCCAATGATTGGCCCCCAATAGTCAGCGATGGCGCCAACTGACCATGGATGACCCTCTTCCCAACTTCTTGAGTCCCCGAATGCGGCTGGTCCTCGGCTTACGACCACGATGGAGCCTCAGATTTCCCTGGCCGAGCGAGACCGTTGTTAAGTGAATTTTGCTCCGTGGATTTTTGTTATTTTTTTAAAAATTAGTCGATGGAAATATAAAATACGGAGAGAAATTTATAAAAAAGGAATAGAAAACGAGGAGGGATGGAGGGAAAAAAGAAAAAAAAACAAAAAGGAGAAAATATGGGGGCTGGACTAGAAGACCTCCCTTCCACCTCATTCTATTCTATTTTATTCTGGTTAAATGGTCGAGGATCTCCTGCTTAACGATGGTGATAATTCGTTTAACGACCCTGGCAAAGGAGGTTAAAAACCAGCCGGCTTCTGTCCGGGAAAGTCAATGGAGGACGCCGGATTCGCTTAACGACCATGGGATTCCCTTCATAATGGCTAGGACTCGCTTAACGACGGTGGCCAAAGAGGGGCCCGAGGGGCGTTGGTACCTACCAAAAATGGGCGAGCGCTTGTTGGGGCAGATGTGGTGGAAGGTCAGGTCGAAGAAAGTGCCCAGCTTCTCTCCCAGGAGGGCCACGAAGGTCTCCATGTCGGGGCTGTCCACCAGGCGGTCCGAGAAGACCCTGCAGAGGAGGAGGCCAGAAGAAAAAAAAACTTCACTCTGGCGCCCCCTGCTGGCCACGGCCATGACACACACACACACACACACACACACACACCCAAGCAGCCTCTTGCAAAGCCATCTCCAGCCCAGCAGGGGACGGCTGGCACCTTCCACCCAGAAGGGGAGGATGGGTTTCACAGAAGAATAGAATAACAGAGTTGGAAGGGACCTTGGAGGTCCTCTAGTCCAACCCCCTGCAGAATAGAATAGAATAGAATAGAATAGAATAGAATAGAATAGAATAGAATAGAATAGAATAGAATAGAATAGAAAAATAGAATAGAATAAAATAAATATCGAATAGAATAGAGTAGAATAGAATAGAAAAATAGAATAGAATAGAATAGAAAATAGAATAGAATAGAATAGAATAGATAGAATAGAAAAATAGAATAGAAAATAGAATAGAATAGAATAGAAATACAATAGAATAGAATAGAATAGAAAATAGAATAGAATAGAATAGAAATACAATAGAATAGAATAAAATAAATAGAGAATAGAATAGAGTAGAGTAGAATAGAAAAGAAAAATAGAATAGAATAGAAAATAGAATAGAATAGAATAGAATAGAAAAATAGAATAGAATAAATAGAAAATAGAATAGAAAATAGAATAGAAAATAGAATAGAATAGAATAGAATAAAATAAAATAAATAGAGAATAGAATAGAGTAGAATAGAAAAGAATAGAATAGAATAGAATAAATAGAAAATAGAATAGAATAGAATAGAAAAATAGAATAGAATAGAATAGAATAGAATAGAATAGAAAATAGAATAGAATAAAATAGAGAATAGAATAAAATAAATAGAGAATAGAATAGAGTAGAGTAGAAAAGAATAGAATAGAATAGAATAAATAGAAAATAGAATAGAATAGAATAGAAAAATAGAATAGAATAGAATAGAATAGAATAGAAAATAGAATAGAATAAAATAGAGAATAGAATAAAATAAATAGAGAATAGAAAATAGAATAGAATAGAATAGAAAATAGAATAGAATAAAATAGAGAATAGAATAGAATAGAAATACAATAGAATAGAATAAAATAAATAGAGAATAGAAAAGAAAAGAAAAGAAAAATAGAATAGAATAGAAAAACAGAATAGAATAGAATAGAATAATAGAATAAAATAAAATAGGGAATAGAATAGAATAGAATAGGAAAAATAGAATAGAAAAGAAGAATAGAATAGAATAGAATAAAATAAAATAGAGAATAAAATAGAGTAGAACAGAACAGAGTTGGCAGGAACCCTCCAGAGAGAAAGAAGCCGGGCGAGAGAGCCCCCACCTGAAGCATTCGTGGATCCAGAGACGGGTCAGGCTGGCTTTGGTATCGTGGAAGTCCTTGTGGGCCCTCAGCATGCCTTGGAAGACCTGAAGGAGGAGAAAGGGGGTGGGGGTGGGGGGAACCAAAGGACCACCATTGAGAGACGGGACACAACCGCACAATCTCGAACACAAGACCCCCGGGACGGTTGCTAGACGCCAGGGAGAAGGAAGGGGCCGTTCTCTCTGCCCTCCAACCTTCAAGCCTGCTGGCTCTGCTTCTTCCCGGGGCCCCCTTGGTGGGAAATAAAGGGGTCCGTTAAGATGCTTTGCAACACAGGCGGGCCCAGCTGGAGGAGGAAGAGGAGGAGGAAGAAGAAGAGAGGAGGGAGGAGGAGGAGGGAGGAAGAGGAGGAGAGGGGGGAGGAGGAGGAGGAAGAGGAGGAGGAAGAGGAGGAGAGGAGGGAGGAGGAGGAGGAGGAAGAGGAGGAGGAAGAGGAGAGGGGGGAGGAGGAGGAGGAAGAGGAGGAGAGGGGGGAGGAGGAGGAGGAAGAGGAGGAGGAAGAGGAGAGGGGGGAGGAGGAGGAGGAAGAGGAGGAGGAAGAGGAGGAGAGGAGGGAGGAGGAGGAGGGAGGAAGAGGAGGAGAGGGGGGAGGAGGAGGAGGAAGAGGAGGAGGAAGAGGAGGAGAGGAGGGAGGAAGAGGAGGAGGAAGAGGAAGAGAGGGGGGAGGAGGAGGAAGAGGAGGAGGAAGAGGAAGAGAGGGGGGAGGAGGAGGAGGAGGAAGAAGAGGAAGAGGCAGGAGGAGGAAGAGGAGGAGAGGGGGAGGAGGAGGAAGAGGAAGAGGAAGAGGAGGAAGAGGAAGAGAGGGGGGAGGAGGAGGAGGAAGAGGAAGAGGAAGAGAGGAGGAAGAGGAGGAAGAGGAGGAGGAAGAGGAGGAGAGGAGGGAGGAGGAAGAGGAAGAGAGGGGGGAGGAGGAGGAGGAAGAAGAAGAGGAAGAAGAGGAGGAAGAGGAGGAGGAAGAGGAGGAGGAGGAGGGAGGAGGAAGAGGAGGAGAGGGAGGAGGAGGAAGAGGAGGAGGAAGAGGAGGAGGAGGAAGAGGAGGAGAGGAGGAAGAGGAGGAGGAAGAGGAGGAGGTTCCTGGTGGTCTCTGATTGTGATGGTTTTCTTGCAAACGTTTCACGACCCAGCTAAGTAACCTCATCAGTGCTAGAAGGGAGTTCAGTTTGTGAAGTGGAGGGAGGAGGAGGAGGAGGAGGAGGAGGAGGAGGAGGAGGAAGACTGTGGGGTCCTTGGTGGTCCCTGAGCTTGGCTGTTTTCTTGTAGACATTTCATGGCCCAACTAGATACCAGCATCAGTGCTAGAAGAGATGGAAGTGAGATGAGGATCATCAGCAACAACAACGCTGATGCTGTTCCCTAGTTGGGTCATGAAACGTTTGCAAGGAAGCAGTCAAACTCAGAGAGCACCGAGGAACCCAGTCCTCCTCCTCCCTTTTCCCCCTCCCCTTTCCCATTTCCGGAAACCCTCCTCCCTCTTCTACTACTGATGCTGTTCCCTAGTTGGGTCCTGAAACGTCTGCAGAGACCCCCGAAGACCCCCCCCCCCGATTCAACCGAGAGCGATACCTATTCTCGCCTATCTGTACCGAAAAGCTTTTCCTGGGCCAGCCTGACGTTCCGTTTCTCTTCTTTCTTTCCATTTCTCAACAATTAAGCGGGAACAAAGGAGCGGGAGGCTCACTGAAGCAAAATATATATAGTCTGATTTAATTGGATTATCTAAGAACCTGGAACTGGCTAGTAGCTGCCCAGAATTAATCAGTTTAAGGCAGGTGAAGTAAACACCGTCTCCCCATGTTGCTCCCGTCCTTTCTTTCTTTTCTTTCTTTCTTTCTTTCTTTCTTTCTTTCTTTCTTTCTTTCTTTCTTTCTTTTTTTTTCCTTCTTTTTCTCTCTCTCTCTCCTTTCCTTCTTTCCTTCTCTCTCCTATTTTTTTTCTCTCTCTCTCTCCCTCCTTCCTTTCCTTCTTTCCTTCCCTGTCTTCCTCCCCTTTCTTTTCTTTCTTTCTTTTTCTCTCTTCTTCCTTCCCTTCCCTGTCTCTCTCTCTCTCCATTTCTTTTCCACTCTCTCCCCCTCTTTCTCTTTTCCTTCCTCCCTCCCTCCCGCCCTCTTTCTTTCCTTCTCTCTCTCTCTTTCTCTCCCTTCCCTTCTTTCTCTCCCGTTTTCTTTTTTTTCCTTCTTTTTCTTTCTCTCCTTCCTTCCTTTCCCTTTCTTTCTCTCTGTCCCCCTTTTCTTCTTTCTTTCCTCTCTCTCCCCCTTTCTTTTCCTTCCTCCCTCTCTCCCACCTTTTCTTTCTTTTCCTTTCTCTCTCCTTCCTTTCTTTTTTTCTCTCTCCCCATTCTTTCTTTCTTTTCCCCCCTCCCTCCTTTTCTTTCTTTTCTTTCTTTCTCTTTCTCTCTCCCCCTTTCTCTTTTCCTTCCTTCCTTCCTCTCTCCCTCCCTCCCTCTTCCTTTTCTTCCTTCCTTTTCTCTCTTCCTTTCTTTCTCTCTCCTTACTTTCCCTCTTCCTTTCTCTCTCTCCCCTTTCTTTCTTTCTCTTTTCCTCCCTCCCTCCCTCCTTCGTTCTTTCTCTCTCCTTCCTTCTTTTCCCTCTTCCTTTCTCTCTCTCTCCCCTTTCTTTCTTTCTTTCTTTTCTTTCTTTCTCTCTCTCTCTCTTTCTCGCTCTCTTTCTTTTCCTCCCTCCCTCCCTCTCTCTTTCTTTCTTCTCTTCCTTGCCATCAACTTTTCAATTAAATTCCTCTTCCTTGTACAATTGCCACCCGGCGAAAACATTCAGATCCCTTTCCTTTCCCTGCACTCAAATCTGCCTGTTTCCCTGATCCACCTTCCATCGCATCAACTCCTTACGATTCAAGCTGTCATTTGACTGATTTAAAAAAAAAAAACTCCAATTTTTTTTGTTTTTAACAAAGCCGAAGATCTAAATAAGGACCGGCCTGGCATTGGGATACCTACGTCCAATTTTAAGCAGCGGGAAAATGCAATAACAACGGAATAATAATGTTGTTGTTGTTCGGAGAAGCCGTGGACGGAGGGGAGGAATGCCGCAATTCTTACACTTTGGGGAGTGAGGACCTCCCCCCCAATTTCTGGCCGTGCTCTGCCCCCCCTTTAACCAGCTGAAAGGGAGGCAGGCTGGCACCTCACGGGCATCCGGGGCTGCATTTGATGTGCGGGAGAAGAGCTTCGGGGCTGAAAACCTGGGATAAACATTCGGCGGCATTTGATGTCTCCAAAGCCGCAATGCCCATTTGATGTGCGCTCTGCATCTCTGCCCTGCTTGGAATCCTAATGCTCACAGCCTCTGGGCATCCGTGGAGGTGGCGCAGGAAAAAACCACAAAACCCTTGGAAACGGCCTGGCTCGCGATAACAGGCCTCGTTTGCCGCTCGACGCCCCCAGTCAGGACGGTCACGAAAGGTGGGGATGTTGGCACCCATCCCGGCGATAGGAGAGAAGCAGGGAGGGGGAGGAATTCCCCGGGATTTGAGGAGGGAGGGGGGGCGGAAAACCACAGGATGTTCGGGAGACCTTGGGAGGATGCAGAGAAATCGTTCCTAATTCCAAGCTTTGAGAAGCTAAACAGGATTCGCTTCCTTGCCCGAGGCACAACCGGCTGACGACCCGCGAGGGGAGCCCGCCACCCCTCCGCACGGGGTCGGCTGCCATCACTTCACTGAAGGCCCCCTCCCTCTGCCAAGAGCAATGTGATTCCTGAAAAAGGAACTTCGACAGCAGCACAATTCGGACCTCCAGGACAACCCCCACCCTCCCGTTAGCTGGAGAAGAGGAAGGGGCACTGGGGACCCTTCTTTTTTTTTGCTGTTGTTTAACAACCCCACAACCTCATGCAGGGTGGAGTCTGGGCAACTGAATGGAGCTAGCAGAGTGTTTTACTGGCCGGATGCCTTTCTTATCACCAATGAGGAGTTCTGTTCAGCAGATATATATATATTCTCATTGTGCCCAGAGAGAGAAATAGCTGCCTCTACCTGGGATTGAACTCACGGCCTCCTGATTGTGAGGCAAGAGCGCCACCTCTAGGCCACCACACCACTAACCATTTAGGCTTATATCATCATCATCTTTTAACGATCCCATAATCCCTTGCGGAGTGGAGTCTTGGGCAACTGAATGGAGCTGAGTGTTTTACTGGCCGGATGCCCTTCTTATCACCAATGAGGAGTTCTGTTCAGCAGATATATATATATATTCTCATTGTGCCCAGAGAGAGAAATATCTGCCTCTACCTAGAATCGAACTCACGGCCTCCTGATTGTGAGGCGAGAGCGCTACCTCTAGGCCACCGCACCACTCCTACTGGGGGACCCTTCTTTCTACCTTGGAAATGTCCCGGAGGTTGAAGAGGTAGTGGATTTTGGCCGGCGTGGGCAGGAACCGTTGGACCACGCTGTTGTAGAGCTCCACCGTGGCCTCGGTGATGACGTTCCCGATCGGTTTGACGGCCTCCTCGAAGTTCTGCAACTTCTGATTGATCATGGTGCCGAAGATGCGACGGATTTGGGAATCCTATCCAGGGGGGGAAGAAAATCAGGAAGGCGGGGGGGCGGGGAACAGCAGGGCAACACCCTCCCCGTCTCATGTGGGTCTGAGTTAAGCCTCCAGCTGCAGGAGATGTCTTTCTGGGAGTTCTCTGCATGCTAGATGGCCTTCAAGGCAGGGGTGGGATTGAAAAATTTTAGCAACTGGTTCTCTGCCTGGTTGCTGGGTGGGCGTGGCCATGGGGGCGTGGCCTAGTTGGCTTCCTGTATGGTGTGGGGGGGGTGTTTTTGCCCTCCCCAGGCTCTGGAGGCTTTCTTTGAGCCTCCGGGATGGCGAAAATGGCCTCTCCTAGGCTCCAGAGGGCCTCCAGAGGCCAGAAACGGGCCCATTTCCGGACTTCCGTTAGGCCCGTTTTTCACCCTCCCAGAGCCTGCATGGACCTGGCATCCAAAACGGGCCGCATGGAGACTTCTGGGGAGGGCGGGGTGGGAGGGGCCAGCCAGAAACCTTGCAACAACCGGTTCGTCGAACCAGATGTGAAATTAACATCCGATTCACCCATTCCGAACCGGCTGAATCCCACACCTGATTCAAGGGTTGCAGGGCATAGATTGGTTCTGATGCAAAGGCAACCCTCGGAGGTTAAACCCGGAGACCCCATGATTTTTTTGGGGGGGGGGGTTCCAGCACTTGAGGGAAAGAGCACACACCCCACCTTGCAACTCCCCCGGCCTAAAATGTGAGTCAAAGCCAACGTTCAAAGGAGCCCATTGAAAACTTGGAACAAATGTTGAATAAGAGCGAATGGATCTCAACCTTCGATTGCTTTAAGGCGCGTGGACTTCAACTCCCAGAATCCCCCCCAGCCAGCATGTGAGGCATACATACAGCTCAGGGTTGAATACAACGATCAGAGTTTTCTTCCGATTGCCGTTAAACCTTTTTTTTTTTTTTTTGCAATCTTGGCCACTTTCAGAGGTGTGGACTTCAACTCCCAGAATTCCCCAGCCGGTTCGTTGTTTCACTTTGCTGAATATCAAGATATATGACACTTACTTCATACCCTCCATCTATTAAGAAAGTTATCCTACGTGGCTGGCTGGGGAATTCTGGGAGTTGAAGTCCACCTGTCTTAAAGTGGCCATGGTCGGAGACCCCTGATTTAAGACTTGTGCACTTCAACTCCCAGAATTCCCCAGCCAGCTCTTTTTCCCCCACTTTTCTGAAGTCAAGATATATTACGCTTACTGTATACCCTCCATCTATTAAGAAAGTTACCCTACGTGGCTGACTGGGGAATGCTGGGAGTTGAAGTCCACAACCTCTTAAAATGACCAAGCTTGAGAAATCCCAAATTATATTCCACAACAGGACCAAAACCCCAAAGCCGATCTCCTTCCACCTCAACAGGAAGGTCCTGCTAGATGCAAGGGACGTGAAGATGGGAGCCCACCTCGCATGGAGCTTCGAGGAGGTTCAGAAGCAGGTAGAGATACCACAGTGAACTTCCTGCATTGTGCCCTAGCCCCCGCCCCCCCACGTTCCAGGTGTGCCTCACCGGCAGGGCCTACCCAAACCTCTCCCCATCCTCTTCCCATCGTCCCCGTCCTGCCCTCCACCGAAGAGACGGCGGGCTGACGTTAGAACTGGCTGGGCCACCTCTGCAGGAATTGGTGGCGGAGAGGATCAGGAAAGGTTGGGGAGGGGGGGTCTCTCTCCTTCACTCGCCAGGTTGAGCCCTGACCCGCGGCCCCTTCCTCGGCTCGGCTGCCAATCAGCCCTTACGGTGGGGAAGGTCATATTGATGAGGTTGAACCGGCTCTGCAGACGGCTGGAGATCACCGTACGCCCTCCTCCGGGAGGTCCCATGGCCGCCATCAGGAACATGTCCTGGGGGACGACAGAGGGGGGGAGACAGATGTCCTCGTGGATCAAAAAAAAAGGGGGGAGAAAGGACCCACCCAACCAACCCACCTTCCCCGCAGCCCACCCTCTGGCTGCGAAGGGTCCGTGCCGAAGCCGGCGGACGACGAAGCTGGTGGCATACAAAAAGGGGAACTTTAATCATCGCCGGCATGGCGCGTGCCACCCTGCCCTTCCCTCGAGGGGTCCTGTGCCGCGCCGGCCTCCCTCCTCTTCTCCACCCCTGACTGAAATCCAGAGACACGACGGCCTCTTTAAGACAATTATTCCGGGCACAAATGTCTTTCATCGCCAGCTGCCGAGTTTTCAAACAACCCGGGGGTCTAAAGAGACAATGCCGAGTTCGGTGCGTGACCGCATTTAATGCGCCGGAGAGGTGCCTTGTAGAAACAATCGGCTCCGGCGGCGGGGCGGACAGGAAGGAAGGCGGGCATCGGGGGGAGGGGAGTCTAGTAGGGGGACATGGCAGGTGGGTGAGGGCCCCGACCCGGTTCTGACCTTGATGTGTTTGATGGTCTGCTTGGTCCGGTCGTACCAGAAGCCGTAGTCCAACCAAAGCCGTAGTAGCTCCAGAGGAGGCTGCGAACCGAACGTGTCTTTGGCCGGCATGTTGAGGTCATCCATGAAGGTGATCATGCTTTTCCCTCCCATGGGTACGTAGACGCCCTTGGTGCGTTTCTCCACGCGGCTCTCGATGATGCTTTGGACGTTGTTGGAGGTGGTCTACGGGAAAGGGAAGGGACGTCCTTACAGAAGGGGGAGACCCAAAGGACCAAAGGCCCGTCAGCCGGGGAACATGGGTTACAACAATAGCGGTAGCCCTTAAGACTTATATACCGCTTCACAGGGCTTTTACAGCCCTCTCTAAGCAGTTTGCAGAGTCAGGCTCTTGCCCCCCCCCCCCAACAATCCGGGTCCTCGTTTTACCCACTTCAGACGGAAGGCTGAGTCAACCTTGAGCTGGTCAGGATCGAACTCCTGGCACTGGGCAGAGTCACCATGCAATAGGGCATTCTAACCACTGCATCACCACGGCGTCCTTCCTTTTTTCTCATTTTTCCTTCCTTCCTTCCCTTCTTCCTTCTTGCCTTTTTCTCTTCCTTCCCTTCCTTCCTCTTCCCTCCCTTTTCTTCCTTCCTTCCCTTCTTCCTCTTGCCTTTTTCTCTTCCTTCCCTTCCTCCTTCCCTCCCTTTCCTTCCTTCCCTCCCTTCTTCCTTCTTGCCTTTTTCTTCCTTCCCCTCCTCCTTCCCTCCCTTTTCCTTCCTTCCTTCCCTTCTTCCTTCTTGCTTTTTTCTCTTCCTTCCCTTCCTCCTTCCCTCCCTTTTCCTTCCTTCCTTCCCTTCTTCCTTCTTGCCTTTTTCTCTTCCTTCCCTTCCTCCTTCCCTCCCTTTTCCTTCCTTCCTTCCCTTCTTCCTTCTTGCCTTTTTCTCTTCCTTCCCTTCCTTCCTCCTCCTTCCCTCCCTTTCCTTCCTTCCCTTCCTTCTTGCCTTTTCTCTTCCTTCCCTTCCTTCCTCCTTCCTCCCTTTTCTTTCCTTCCTTCCCTTCTTCCTTCTGCTTTTTCTCTTCCTTCCCTTCCTCCTTCCCTCCCTCCTTCCTTCCTCCCTTCTTGCCTTTTTCTCTTCCTTCCCTCCCTCCCTCCCTCCTTCCCTCCCCTTCCTTCCTTTACCGCTCTCCAGTTTACAGAGTCAGCCTCTTGCCCCTCCAACAATCTGGGTCCTCGTTTTACCGACTTCAGAAGGAAGGACGGAAGGCTGAGTCAACCTTGAGCTGGTCAGGATTGAACTCCTGACATTGGGCAGAGTCAGCGTGCAATAGTGCATTCTAACCACTGTGTCACCACAGCTTCCTTCCTTCCTTCCTTCCTTCTTGCCTTTTTCTCTTCCTTCCCTTCCTCCTTCCTCCCTTTTCTTCTTCCCTCCCTTCTTCCTTCTTGCCTTTTCTCTTCCTTCCCCTCCTCCTTCCCTCCCTTTTCCTTCCTTCCTTCCCTTCTTCCTTCTTGCTTTTTTCTCTTCCTTCCTTCCTCTTCCCTCCTTCCTTCCTTCCTTCTTCCTTCTTGCCTTTTTCTCTTCCTTCCCTTCCTTCCCTCCCTTTTCCTTCCTTCCCTTCCTTCTTGCCTTTTTCTCTTCCTTCCCTTCCTTCCTCCTTCCCTCCCTTTTCCTTCCTTCCTTCCTTCCTTCCTTCCTTCCTTCCTTCCTTCCTTCCTTTAAAGCCCTCTCTAAGCGGTTTACAGAGTCAGCCTCTTGCCCCCCAACAATCTGGGTCCTCGCTTGACCGACCTCGGAAGGATGGAAGGCCGAGTCAACCTTGAGCCTGGTCAGGATCGAACTGCTGAACTGCAGGCAGCCGGCAGTCAGCAGAAGTAGCCTGCACTCTACCTACTGGGCCACCATTTACCGCCAAAACAAGAGCCCCAAATTTCCTCAAGGGGTTCGTTAAGTGAGCTGTCATTTAAGAAGAGATCAGACAGCCATTTGTCTGAAACGGTATAGGATCTCCTTCTCGAGCAGGGGGTTGGGATAGATGACCTCTGAGGTCCCTCCGAACTCTTGTGATTCTGTTATTCTGGCAAGAAGGACTAGGGGAGACACCGTAGCAGAGTTCCAATATTTGAGGGGCTGCCCCAAAGAAGAGGAGGGGCTCAAGCTATTCTCCAAAGCATCTGAAGGCAGGAGAAGAAGCGACGGATGGAAACGAATCAAGGAGAGAAGCAACCTGGAATTGAAGGAGAAACTTCCCGACAGGGAGAATAATTAACCAGTGGAACAGCCTGCCACCAGAAGTTGTGGATGCTTTCATCACTGGAGGTTTCCTGCTCAACCAGCGGATGGACTAGATGACCTCTCAGCTCCCTTCCAACTCTTGTTAATTCTGTTCCATTCTTTCTGTGAAGGCTTCCCTCTTTGTCATTGTTTGGGCGCAGGTGAGTCGTTACCTGGGCGGACATGTTGATGACCAAGACGGCCCACTTGACGCTGTCCAGGGACTGAAGCACCCCTTGGGCGATGGAGGTCTTCCCCGTGCCCACCATGCCGGTCAGCAACACCGGCTGTTGGTTGGCAATCAAGGCGTTGACGAGATAGTTGTACCGCATAGTGTCCACCGTCGGCACGATGATCTTGTAGAAGGGGATGCTGGGGAAAGGAGCGGAGGTCTCGGCTCAGGACTCGTGCTCGGCTGTCGCCCACCCCCCCTTGGTAGATGCGCCCGCCCCAAGCTGAGTCCCCAGAGTGTGTGGTAGCTCTCGCGGCTAAGCCGAAAACCCTTGTCGAGAGGCATGAAGACATCTCACACGAGACACAATTCCCCGCGTTTGTTATCCCGGCTGGAAGTTGAAAGCTTGGAAGGCAGCCACTATTTTCGATGCTGTCCGTCCCTCGTGTTGTGACTCCGACCCCCGAGGCCGACTTATCGGAGGGAGAAGGCTCCGAACATGAAGGAGAGGAGTTGGCCAGGCCTCCCTCTCCAGGACCCTCCTCTCTGGCAATGCCTCAGGTGTCTCCCGAGGAGAAGAGATTGGCCAGGAGCCAGATATCTCCTCACAGTCGGACAGTGAAGGAGATAAGTCTTGGCTGGATCCACGCCAGCGTCGGAGAGACAGGCGCACGCAGCAGAAAAGGAGGCGTGCCAGAGATTAAGCTGAGTCACTGGACCATACCCCACAGGGGATATAAGGGGTGTGGTGGCCATTCAGGCTCTGTGACGGACAAAACTAAACAACTAGCGAGTCGCATTGTATCTCTGAAACTACGTCATCTGCCTGCCTTGGATTTAATACGGACTGGACTTGACAATTTTTTGACTTTGTATATTTGCTTTGGTTTATCTGACGGAGGAGGAACACCTCCCTCTGTGAGTAAAGTTCTTGGCAAGCAGCTACTGGGTTGCTGCCAATCCTGTTATCAAAGGAATTTATTGTCTGCAAGTTTTATTTAACCCCTGGCTGACTGTTTGTGTGCGTGTGTGAGACGGGGACAGAACACCTCGCCCGGCGTTGTGCGTGGGCAGGCACCTGCCCGTGGCCGCTGGGGGACCGCACCCTCCGGTAATTCCAGGCCGCTGATTGGATTAGGGACGAGTGTGTGTGTGTGTGTGTGTAAATGGATGCGAGCACAGGCTTAAATCACAGATGCTCGGCTGGCAGCTGTGAGGGACGGCAGGGGAAGACAGCAATTGTGATGTTGGGTGTGGTTGCGTGGAGGCCGGAAATCAGAGAATTGAGAAACCAAGCTGGGCATGAAGAGGTTAGTTCAGCCATGGAGACCATGTCTTCACCACCTCCTCTTCGAGAGGTCCTCGATTTATGACCACAATTGAGCCCAACATTTCCATTGCTGAGCCAGACAATTGTTATGCCGTGTTTAGACCCGGAGCGAGACATTTGCTATGTTTTGTGCCCTGTTTTATGACCTTTCCTGACACAGTTGTTAAGAGAGTCACACGGTCGTTAAATGAATCTGGCTTCCCCACTGACTGTCCGAAGGGTTACTCACTTGGGAGGGTATCTCCACATCTTGGGAAGGTTGTCCTCGAAGGCAACCCACTGCTTCCTCTTGGGGTCCACGTAATACTCGTAGACGGTGTCCTGCGGAGGAGCAAGCAAGGAGTAGGTGAGGTGGATCGTCTCACGACGTTTGCTTTTCCGACCGATCCCGGAAGATCCCGGGAAGCCAAGCGAATCTGAACGACCTTGTTAGGGAAGGATCCCTCGATTTCCCGCAGGAAGCTGTCGATCTTCTTCCGGCCTTCCTCGTCGACGGCTGCGCACAGCGACCAGATCATGCTGAAGACGTAATACATCTCCACCAAGGTGGTGTAGTTCTCGGTGTCGGTGAGATTCAGCTGGAAGGAACGGGGAGATCCTCACTTAAGGGCCACCACCAGCATCTCCCTAGACAGAGATGTGGGGCAGAGAGAGACGGACCAGACCGACAGCTTGGAAGGTCTGTTGAAGCACAAGTAGTCCTTCACTTACAACTGTTCATTTAGTTCATCTTCTCTCAGCAACTGAAGGGAGCTGAGTGTTTTATTGGCCGGATGCCTTTCTTGTTGCCAGTGCGGAGTTATATTCAGCAGATAAATTCTCATTGTGCCCAGAGAGAGGGAAATATCTGCCTCTACCTAGGATCGAACTCACAGCTTCCTGATTGTGAGGCGAGAGCTCCGCCTCTAAGCCGCCGCACCCCTCTTACAACAGTTCATTTAGCGACGGTTGGAAATTACAACGGCACTGAGAAAAGTGACTTAGGACCATTATGAGCGATTTTCACACTTACGACCGTTAGCAATCCCACGATCATGGGATCAAAACCCGGACGCTCGGCAACGGACTCGTATTTATGACGGTCGCAGTGTCCCGGAGTCAGGTGAGATCGCCTTTTGCAACCTCCCGACCAGCAAAGTCAATGGAGGATCTTGGATTCATTTAACAGTTCGAATCTTATCAGGGTCAAGATTGACTTAGGCTTCCGTCCTTTCTTCCTTCCTTCCTTTGTTCCTTCCTCCCTCCCTCCCTCATTCCTTTCCTCCTTCCCTCCTCCTTCTCCCCCTTTCCTTCCCTTCCTTTGTTCCTTCCTCCCGCCCTCCCTCCCTCCCACCTTCCTTCCTTTCCTCCTTCCCTCCTCCTTCTCCCCCTTTCCATCCTTCCTTCCTTCCTTCCTTCCTTCCTTCCTTCCTCCCTCCCTCTCCCCCTCTTTCCTTCCTTCCTTTGTTCCTTCCTTCTTCCCTCCCTCCCTCCCACCCTCAGTCCTTCCCTCCTCCTTTTCCCTTTCCTTCCTTCCCTCCTTCCTTCGTTCCTTCCTTCTTTCTTCCCTCCCTCTCTCCCTCTTTCCTTCCTTCCTCCCTCTCTCCCTCCTTCCATCCTTCCTTCCTTGCCACCATTGTTAAGTGAATCACTGCGGTTGTTAAGTTAGTCAAAAGGCCGTTAAGTGAATTTGGCTTCCCTGTGGACTTTTGCTTGTCATAAGGTCCCAAAAAGGGATCATGTGACCCCGGGACGCCACGACCATCATAAATACAAGTCCGTTGCCAAGCCTCTGAATTTTTTTTTATTTTTTATTTTTTTTTATTTTTTTTATCTTTTTATAAGCCCCTGAGTTTTGATCATGTGGCCAGGGAGATGCTGCCGCTCTTGTGTGAAAAACGATCTTAAGTCACTCATTTCAGAGCCGTCGCAATTTCTAACAGTCACTAAGCGAACTGTTGGACAGTGGTGCGGTGGCCTAGAGGTGGAGCTCTCGCCTCACAATCAGGAGGCCGGGAATTCGATCCTAGATAGAGGCAGATATTTCTCTCCCTCTCTCGCACAATGAGAATATATCTGCTGAACAAAACTCCGCACTGGCAACAGGGAAAGGCATCCGGCCAGTAAAACACTCAGCTCCATTCAGCTGCCCAGACTCCACCCCGCGAGAGATTATGGGGTCATTAAAAGAAGATGATGACTAAACAAACTGTTGTAAATTAAAGATTACCTGTATTAGAAGGACCCACATGGGAAGGGGAGGGTGTCCCCCTCGCCCAGCGCTTACCCCTTCCTCGGCCAAGGACGAGAAGAGTTTGCAGAGAGACACAATGCCACTGTATTCAACGATGGGAACCAACTCCTGGCAATTCTCCTTCTTGAAGTTGAGGATCTTGTTGGTGAATTTGTCAAACATCCGCTGCAACGTTTCCGTTTCCACCTGGGAAGGGAGAAGGGGGTGCAGGTGCGCGGAAACTCGCCACGGCCAATTCGTCCCGGGACAGATTCCCGCAGGACGATTCGGCAAAATGCAAAAGCTACGTCAATTTCAATGGAATTGCGGCCGTAAGAGGAAGAAAAGTCAATCCAGAAATACAAGAGGTACCGTAATTTCGATGAACTCAAATCGATCCATCAGATCGATGGATCTGCTGTCAGGGGGGTTGGACTAGAAGACCTCTAAGGTCCCTTCCAGCTCGGTTCTGATGGATCGATTTGAGTTCATCGAAATTACGCTAACTCTTGACCCTATACCAGGGGTGAAATCAGTGGTGGGTTTCAAAAATTTTTGCTACCGGTTCTGTGGGCGCGGCTTGGTGGGCCTTCCAAGGGAAGGATACTGTAAAATCTCCATTCCCACCCCACTCCAACGGAAGGTTACTGCAAAATCCCCATTTCCTCCTGATCAGCTGGGACTCGGGAGGCAGAGAATAGATGGGAATTTTTACTACCGGTTCTCCAAACTAATCAACATTTCCACTACCGGTTCTCCAGAACTGGTCAGAACCTGTTGAACCCAACATCTGGGTGAAATCTACTTACCTTCCCTACATGCGCGCGCTTGGACCCTCTGTGCATGCGCAGAGTGTAAAAAACAGGTTACTTTCTGGTTAAAACCAGGAAGTAACGACAACCGGGCGGGTGGGCAGAGAGCCTCGCGCCACCACCGTTACCGGTTCCCCTGAACCGGTGTGAACCGTAGCATTTCACCCCCTGCCCTATACCAGTGATGGCGAATGGCGCGCAGAGCCATCTCTCTGGGCACGCCAGCCGTTGCCTGTTACTCCGCTGGGTTCCAGCCACCTGGTCTTCGTGCACACATGAAAGAGCAGATGATTGGCGCACATGCGCAGGCCGGAAACCGGAAGCTCAGCTTCCCAGTGCGGCCATGCAAGGGCCCTATACCATTCCATTCAGGTGGCTGTCCAATCTTTTTTTTTTTAAAAAAAAAAATCTCCTGGGAAGTTGTAGGGAGCACCCACAACATCTGGGGACGAGCGTTCCTTTTGAATCCATTCCTTTCGATGCGTACACCTGTCGCGGCCCGCTTACTCTCTTCTAATCCCTTCCTCTGCAAACGCTCCACTCTAGGAGGTCGGAGGCAAAAAAAAAAAAAATACAGACATGGCTGGCTGAGGAATTCTGGGAGCTGAAGTCCATAAATCTTCAAAGTTGCCAGGATTGGAGACCCTTGCCCTCTTATCATTTCAGACAAGCGACCGTCCAGTCTCGTCTTCCGGTGATGGAACTCACACAACTTCTGGTGGCAAGCTGTTCCACGGGTTAACTGTCCTCCCTGTCAGGAAATTTCTCCTTAGTTCTAAATTGCTTCTCTCTTTGATTAGTTTCCACCCGTTGCTTCTTGTCCTACCCTCAGGTGCTTTGGAGAATAGCTTGACTCCCTCTTCTTTGGGGCAGCCCCTCAAATATAGGAATACGGTTATCATGTCACCCCTGGTTTTTGATCGATAAAAGTAACCGAATGAAACGATTAATACAGCGTTGATTTATCCCACAGAGAGTTGACCGCAACGAGTTGGCCTACAGACTCCCAAGTTTCTCCTTCCACGCAATGATTTCTTCTTGAGGTTTTGCTCCTTATCATCTTGAAGACTCCGATCAGCCAACGGGTGTCCTCCAAAAATAACTTGAGGACTTCTTGCTTCCTCTCAAATCACGCCTCTATGATTTTGGGGATTTCTTACCCCACAACGTATAGGGTACATCCTCAGGAGGGAAAAGTACAAGACGCTGTGAGCGAGGAGGTCCACCTATTTTCCAAAACACCAGAAGGCAGGAGAAGAAGCAACGGATGGAAACACATCAAGGAGAGAAGCAACCTGGAACTGAGGAGAAATTTCCTCAAAGCGAGGACAATTCGCCAGCGGAACAGCTTGCCACCAGAAGTTGCGGGTGCTTTCAACACTGGAGGCTTTTAAGAAGAGATTGGACGGTCACTTGTCTGAAATGGTAGAGGATCTCCTGCTTGAGCATGGGGTTTGACTAGATGACCTCCGACGTCCCTTCCAGCTCTATTCCGATTGCATAACCATGGATGACCCCACAATAATCAAGACTGTCTTGGGAGTGTTTCTCAACCTCGGCAACGTGAAGACTCCCGGAATTCCCTGACAGTAATGCATTCCTTTTGATACGTGCGCGCGTATTCTCTTGCAATCCCTTTCTCTGCAATCTCTCCATTTTAGAGGATAGGAGAGAAAAAAAATAATAATACAGGCACGGCTGGCTGGGGAATCCTGGGAGTTGAAGTCCACCCGTTTTACAGTTGCCAAGTCGCCATCCTAAACTCAATCCCGCCCCCTCCACTACCTTCGGACGCTTCTCGATCCAGGATAGGACGTACGGCTTCCAACCCAGGTCACTGTAGTCGGTGTAAACCATCCCACATCGGGAGACGGTGGCGGGAGAGGCGACCGCCAGGTTCTCCACTTCAAACAACAGCGAGACCTGGAGAAGACATCCCCCCCCCGCCGACAATGTCCATCAGATGCGGTGGGAGCCCAGCTCGGCTGCTCAAACGGAGCAGGAGGGGGCACGAGGGTAGTAGGGTCTTTAACTTACCTGCTCGGGCATGGCGATCCTCTCCCCATTGATGAGGGTCAGGACTTTGTTGTCGTCCATGACCGAGTTCATGCTCTCGATCCACAGCGTGTCCACCGGTCCGTCGAAAAGGATCCATTTTTCATCCGGTTTCTCATCTGCGACGAAGAGGGGAGGCTCGGTCAGAGCCCGTGAGGGACAGGAGAAGACCCCACAACATATCCCACCCACCCATCACCGGTAGTAATTTTTTTTTTGCTACCGTTTCTGTGGGCGTGGCTTGGTGGGCGTGGCAGGGGAAGGATACTGTAAAATCTCCATTCCCACCCCACTCCAGGGGAAGGATACTGCAAAATCCCCATTTGCTCCCGATCAGCTGGGACTCGGGAGGCCGAGAATAGATGCGGGCGGGGCCAGTCAGAATTTTTTACTACCGGTTTTCTAGAACTACTCAAAATTTCCGCTACCGGTTCTCCCGAACCGGTCAGAACCTGCTGAAACCCATCTCTGCCACCCACCCATTTTGGTCTCTTGCATCAGGAAACGGACGCCGGGCATTGTAGCAAGAGAGGGAAGGGCCAAGGGTGGACTCCTCTCTATCATTATTATTATTGTTGTTGTTGTTATCTATCATTATCACTATATCATCTCTTTCATAACCCTAGCTGTAGACAAGACCCTTTGGGGGCCACTCAATGAACCCAAATCTAGGCTCCCATCAAACCAACGACGCCAGAAGAAGCAAAGGTATTTCTCCTAAAGGCATCTTAGAGTTGGTTGGTTGGTTGATTAATTAATTAATTCACAGATGGAAACTCATCAAGGAGAGAAGCAACCTGGAACTAAGGAGAAGCTTCCTAACGGCGAGGACAATTCGCCAGTGGAACAGCTTGCCACCGGAAGTCGCAAAGGCTCCAACACTGGAAGTTTTCAAGAAGAGATTGGACAGCCATTTACCTGAAATGGTATAGGACGGTGATGGCCAACCTTTTTGCCGTCACGTGCCAAAAGCGGGGGGAGTGTGTGGGGGGGGGTCGGGCGCGTGCCCATACCCATAACTCAATGCGCCCCACGCATGCGGGCGCGACCTCCCCCGCTCACCCCGCTTTTGGCACGCAATGGCATGGTGGGGTCGATAGGCCCATTTTTCGCCATCCCAAGGCTCCAGAGGCTTCCTTGGAGCCTGGGGAGGGCGAAAACAGCCTTCCCCACCACTCCGGAGGCCTTTCGGAGGCTGGAAACAGCCCGTTTCCTGACTTCCGGTGAGCCCGGAAGGCCCGAAAATCAGCTGGCCGTGTGCACTTCGTGCTTCCGCTGAGCTAGAGCAATGCTTGCGTGCCACATAGATATGGCTCCGCGTGCCACCTGTTCTGTTCTGTTTGTTCTGTTCTGTTCTGTTCTGTTCTGTTTCTATTTCCATTCCATTCCATTCCATTCCATTCCATATTTTCTATTCTATTCTATTCTATTCTATTCTATTCTATTCTATTCTATTCTATTCTATTCTATTATTCTATTCTATTTCTATTTCTATTTCCATTCCATTCCATTCCATATTTTCAATTCTGTTCTGTTCTGTTCTGTTCTGTTCTGTTCTGTTCTGTTCTGTTCTGTTCTATTCTATTCTATTCTATTCTATTCTATTCTATTTCTATTTCTATTTCCATTCCATTCCATATTTTCTATTCTATTCTATTCTATTCTATTCTATTCTATTCTATTCTATTCTATTCTATTCTATTCCTATTTCTATTTCTATTTCTATTTCTATAAGGCAGGACAAGAAGCAACGGGTGGAAACTAACCAAGGAGAGAAGCAACCTGGAACTACGGAGAAACTTCCTACAGTAGGACAATTAACCAGTGGAACAGCTTGCCACCAGAAATTGTGGGTGCTCCACCCCTGGAGACTAGACGGTCACTTATCTGAAATGGTAGACTCTAGGGTTTCCTGCTTGAGCAAAAGGTTGGATTAGAAGACCTCCAAAGGTCCCTTCCAACTCTGTTATTTCTGATTGATTCAATTGATATACTACCCGTCTCGCTGTTGAAACGGGTGTTTCAAAGACTAAATAAACCATTTAAACTACTTAAACTATGTTTCAAAGACTAAACGGCTTAATAAACTTTCTTAATAGATGGTGGGTATGCAGTAAGCGTAATATATCTTGACTTCAGCAAAGTGAAAAAAAAAGAGCTGGCTGGGGAATTCTGGGAGTTGAAGTCCACGAGTCTTAAATCAGGGGTCTCCAACCTTGGTCACTTTAAGACCTGTGGACTTCAACTCCCAGAATTCCCCAGCCAGCCACGTAGGATAACTTTCTTAATAGATGGTGGGTATGCAGTAAGCGTAATATATCTTGACTTCGGCAAAGTGAAAAAAAAAAGAGCTGGCTGGGGAATTCTGGGAGTTGAAATCCACAGGTCTTAAAGTTGCCAAGGTTGGGGACTCCTGTTCTAGAGGGTGGGGGGTGGGGGCCACACCAAAAAGGCCCTTCTCCTGGACCCCGCCAGGTGAAATTCACTGGCAGACGGGGCCCGGATAAGGCCTCTTCTTGTTGGAGCGAGCGGGACGGACCCCTCTGGCCTTTCTCTGCCCATAAGTCTGGTGTGTGTGTGGGGGGGGGGGTCTTCCACCACATGGGGTGAGCCCCCTCCCCGGTCAAAGAGTAGGTGTGTGTGTACACCGCTGTACCTGCGCAGGCCGTCCGCATAACGCTGGAGAGAATGCCGTCCGTCCACTCATTGGTGCTGAGGTTGTACTCTCCGTACAGCTCGCCCAGGGACACCGCCTTGGGGTTCAGGGGATAGTCCTGGGGGGGAGGGAGGGGAGGGGGAGGAGGAAGAGGAGGAGGAGGAAGCTCAGAAGCATGCAACAGAGGCCAGGCCAGGCCAGGCCAGGCCAGGCAGAGCCCCTCCCCACCCCCTCCCATTTCCTCCTCTGCCCCCCTTCCCCTCACATGAACCATTTTTTCTGTGGCTCTCACACGAAGGAACGAATGGGGCCCACAGACGCTCCTGGCCAAGCAGGGAAAAGGAAAGGGAGGGAGGGAGAGGGGAAAAAAGGGATGGGTGGATGGATAGGAGGGAGAGAAGTAGGGAAGTAGGGAGGGAGAAAAGGAGGGAGGAGAGAGAGGGAGGGAGGGAGAGGATGAAATAATGGATGGATGGATGGGAGGGAAGGAGGGAGAGAGGGAGGAAAGGCAGGGAGGAAGGAAAGGAGAGGGAGGAGAGGGAGGGAGGAAGAGAGAGGGAAAGGAGAAAGAAGGGATGGGATGATGGATGGATGGATGGATGGAAGGAATGATGAGTGGGAGGGAGGAAAGGAGAGGGAGAAAAAGAGAGGAGAGAGAGGGAGGAAGAAAGGAAGGGAGGGAGGGAGAGGATGGAATAATGGATGGATGGATGGATAGGAGAGAGAGAGAAGTAGGGGAGGGAGAAAAGGAGGGAGGAGAGAGAGGGAGGGAGGGAGGAAGAAAGGGAGGAGAGAAGGAGGAAGGGAGGGGAGGAAGGAAGGAAGGAGCAAGAGAGGGTGTGGGGAAAGGATGGATAGATAGATGGAAGCCAGGACGAGAGGGAGAGAGGAAAGGAGAGAGGGACAAAAACAGGGAGGTGGGGAGAGGATGGAATAATGGATGGATGGATGGAAGGCAGGATGAGAGGGAGGGAGGAAGGAGAGGGAGAAAAAGGGAGGAGAGAGAGGGAGGTGGGGAGAGGATGGAATAATGGATGGATGGATGGATAGGAGAGAGAGAGAAGTAGGGAAGTAGGAGGGAGAAAAGGAGGGAGGAGAGAGAGGGAGGGAGGGAGGAAGAAAGGGAGGAGAGAAGGAGGGAAGGAGGGAAGGAAGGAAGGAAGGAGCAAGAGAGGGTGTGGGGAAAGGATGGATGGATGGATGGAAGGCAGGACGAGAGGGAGGGAGGAAAGGAGAGAGGGACAAAAACAGGGAGGAGGGGAGAGGATGGAATAATGGATGGATGGATGGATGGATGGAGGGGAGGGGAGGGGAAGGGGAGGGGAAGGGGCGCTGAGCTCTCTGGCCCCCCCCCAGCCACTCACTCACCCGGACCAGGTTGAAGCCGGCGTCTCCGCTCCTGTGGAGGCTGCAGAGGGTGGCCTGCAGGGCCTTCCAGGTGATGGTTTTGCCGCTGCCGGTGTTGCCCACGATCATGGAGGAGTGGCGGGAGTTCTTGGTCTCAAAGAGCTGGATGACCTTCATGATGGTGAAGGGGATGACCTGCAGCCCCAGCTCCCTCAGCTCCCCCTCCAGCATTTCTTTCAGCTGTTGGGGAAGGGAGGGAAGAGATGGAAGGGAGGGAGAGAGAGGGAAAAAGGGAGAGAGAAAGAAAGAAAAAAGAAAAAGAAAGAAAGAAAGAAAGAAAGAGGGAAGAGATAGAAAAAAGGAAAGGAAGGAAGGAAGAGATAGAAAAAAGGAAGGAAAGAAGGAAGGAGGGAGGGAGGGAAGGAGGGAGATAGAAAAGAGAAATGAAAGAAGGAAGGAGGGAGGGAGGGAGGGAAGGAGGGAGATAGAAAAGAGGAATGAAAGAAGGAAGGGAGGGAGAGAAGAAGGAAGGAAGGAAGGAGATACAAAAGAAAGGAGGGAGGGAGGGAGGAGGAAGGAAGGAGACAGAAATGAGGAAGGAAGGATGGAAGAAGATAGAAAAGGGGAATGAAAGAAGAAAGGAAGGACGGAGGGAGAAAGGGAGATAGAAAAGAGGAATGAAAGAAGGGAGGGAGGGAGAGAAGAAGGAAGGAAGGTGATACAAAAGATGAAAGAAAGAAAGGAGGGAGGAAGGAGGAAGGAGAGAGAATGAGGAAGGAAGGAAGAAAATAGAAAAGAGGAATGAAAAAGGGAGGGAGGGAGGGAGAGAGGGAGATAGAAAAGAGGAATGAAAGAAGAAAGGGAGGGAGAGAAGAAGGAAGGAGATACAAAAGATGAATGAAAGAAAGGAGGGAGGAGGAAGGAAGGAGACAGAAATGAGGAATGAAAGAAGGGAGGGAGGAAGGAGGGAAGGAAGAAAGGAAGGGAGGAGGGAGGAGATACAAAAGCCAAATGAAAGAAAGGAGGGAGGGAGGAGGAAGGAAGGATGGAAGAAGATAGAAAAGAGGAATGAAAGAAGGAAGGGAGGGAAAGAAGAAGGAAGGAAGGAAGGAAATACAAAAGATGAATGAAAGAAAGGAGGGAGGAGGAAGGAAGGAGACAGAAATGAGGAAGGAAGGAAGAAGATAGAAAAGAGGAATGAAAGAAGGGAGGGAGGAAGGAGGGAAGGAAGAAAGGAAGGGAGGGGGAAGGAGATAGAAAAGCCGAATGAAAGAAAGCAGGGAGGGAGGAGGAAGGAAGGAGACAGAAATGAGGATGGAAGGATGGAAGAAGATAGAAAAGAGGAATGAAAGAAGGGAAGGGAAGGGAAGGGAAGGGAAGGGGAGGGGAGGGGCGAAGGAAGGAAAGAAGGAAGGAAAGAAGGAAGGAAAGAAGGAATTGTGTCTCTGAGCCTGGCAGCCCTTCCCATCCCTCACAGAAGACGTCCAGAGGTCCCAGGGAGGCCCTGCATAGCTCCCCTCTCCCCTCTCTGGACCCCCCCCCACCTCAGCCTCTTCCCCGGAGGAGGGCAGAGGGCCACCAGGCCCAGGGGGGTCCGGCAGACGGAGGGAGGGGCCGCAGCTGACCTTGCCGTAGTCAATGACGGGGCACTCGATGCCCGGGAAGAGGTCCTGGGTGATGGCGTTGAAGAGCGGGACGTCCCCGGAGGTCAGCTTGGCGATGTTCATGTCCTTCATGGCCATGAGGAGGATCTGCAACCCCGGAAGGGAAAAGTCAAGAGCCCAGTCCTCATCAAGGAGATGCTCCGTCCTCCAGGCCAGGGTTCAAAAATCTAACTGGACTTTATTTTTCCTTTTTTCTTTGAAAACATTTCCCTTCTCAGCCCCAGAAGCTTCCTCGTTCTAACTGAAGGTCCCCACCAAGAAGAGAGGAGAGGAGAGCAGAAGCCCCTGGATGGAGGAGACCTTCCCTCTGGGGGCTCAGCAGCCCCCTCGCCTGCCCGGAAGACCCATTACAGGCAGTCCTCGACTTACGACCGTTCATTTAGTGACCGTTCGAAGCTGCAAGGGTGCTGAAAACCGTCACGTATGAACATTTCTCACATTTACGGCCGTTGCAGCAAAACCGTCACTTATGAACATTTCTCACATTTATGACCGTTGCAGCATTCGAACGCGGGATCAAAATTCAGACGCTCGACCGTGAGCAAAGTAATGGGGAAGCCAGATTCACTTACTTAACGACCGTGGGGCTAAATGCACAACAGCAGTGATTTGCTTAATAAGGGTGGGAAGGAAGGAAGGAGAGAAGGAAGGAAGGAGAGAGAAAAGGAAGGAAAGAAGGAAAGAAGGAAAAAGAGTGAGGAAGGGAGGAAGGAAGGAGATATAAGGAAGGAAGGAACACAGGGAGGGAAGGAGCAAAGGAACGAGGGACGGAGGAAGGAAAGATAGAGGGAGAGAGGGAAGAAAGGAAGAAATGAGGAAGGAAGGAAGGGAGAGACAGAGGGAGGGAAGGGAGGGAGGGAGTGAAGTAGGGAGTGAAGTAGGGAGAGAGGAAGGGAAGGGAGAGAGGAAGGGAAGGGAGGAAGGAAGGAATCAGGGAGGAAGGGAAAGAGGAAGGAAGAAAGGAGAGAGAGAAAGGAAAGAAGGAAAAGGAAGGAAAGAAGGAAAAAGAGTGAGAAAGGGAGGAAGAAAGGAGATATAAGGAAGGAAGGAACAGAGGGAGGGAAGGAGCAAAGGAACGAGGGACGGAGGAAGGAAAGATAGAGGGAGGGAAGAAAGGAAGAAATCAGGAAGGAAGGGAAAGAGGAAGGAAGGGAGAGACAGAGGGAGGGAAGGAAGGGAGGGAGGAAGGAAGGGGAAGAGAGAAAGGGAAAGGAGGAGAGGAAGGAAGGAACAGAGGGAGTGAAGGAGGGAGTGAAGGAGGGAGAGAGGAAGGGAAGGGAGAAAGGAAGGGAAAGAGGAAGGAAAGAAGGAAAGAAGGAAAAAGAGTGAGGAAGGGAGGAAGAAAGGAGATCTAAGGAAGGAAGGAACAGAGGGAGGGAAGGAGGGAGGGAAGGAGCAAAGGAAGGAGGGACGGAGGAAGGAAAGATAGAGGGAGAGAGGGAAGAAAGGAAGGAATCAGGGAGGAAGGGAAAGAGGAAAGAAGGAAGGAAGGCAGGAAAGAAAGGAAGAAAGAGGGAGAAAAGGAATGGAAGAGGGAGGGAGGAAGGAAAGGAGGGAAGGAATGAGGGAGGAAGGGCGAGAGGAAGAAAGGAAGTAGATAGAAAAGTGGAAAGAAGGAACATCATAAAATGCTCCCAAAGGAAAGCCATAAAATGGGACAAAACTCCTTTAGCAAATACGTAGGAAACCTTGCCCTCCCTTGCGGTCGTAAGTCGAGGACTTCCTGCAGCGGCCTCAGAGAGCTCCACAAGGCCCCTCTGCCTCCCACCCACCCACCCTCGCAGCAATCCCTCCCCCCCTTCAAGCCCACCTCTTCATCGGAGAGGTCCGGCCGCACCCGGCGCTTCTTCCCGGCGTAACGCAGGAGGGAAGTGAGGGCCCGCAGGCCGAAGTCGTAGTGGTCCTGCTTGGAGAGCTGTTGCACGGCCAGGGAGTAGAGGGTGTAGACCTTCTTGGCCAAGATCTGGGGGTGGGGGGGGAGAAGAGAAGCTGGAGAAGATCTCCCCCGGGGTTGGAACCTCGGCCTCCCGCCACCCACAAACCCCCCCCCCGAGCCACCCTACCACCGGATGGATACCTTACAGTTGTTGAAGCCTTCTCCGAAAAGGATGATCTCGGCGATGAGGGTGGAATCCGGGACCACCATGGAGATGGGACGAAACATGGACTTCAGGTTGTCCGGCAATTCCGTGCGCCCGGCGTAGCCTGCCGAAACACCCCGGGGAAGAGGAGGTCAGAAGAGGGGGTCACGGGGGCAGCTGTAGGTAGGTTGTCTACAAGCTGGGCCACTTTCAGAGGGGTGGACTACAACTCCCAGAATCCCCCAGCCAGCATGTGGGATATAGATACAGCTTTGGCCCCTTTAGGATGGATGGACTTCAATTCCCAGCATTCCCCACCCAGCAGGATATAGATACAGCTTTGGCCCCTTTAAGATGGGTGGACTACAAATCCCAGCATTCCCCAGCCAGCATGTAGGATATAGATACAGCTTTGGTCACTTTAACACGGGTGGACTTCAACTCCCAGAATTCCTGAGCCAACATGGGGAATTTGGGCCCTTTCATGACTTGGGGACTTCAACTCCCAGAATTCCTGAGCCAACATGGGGAATTTGGGCCCTTTCATGACTTGGGGACTTCAACTCCCAGAATTCCTGAGCCAACATGGGGAATTTGGGCCCTTTCATGACTTGGGGACTTCAACTCCCAGAATTCCTCAGCCAACATGGGAATTTGGGCCCTTTCATGACTTGGGGACTTCAACTCCCAGAATCCTGAGCCAACATGGGGAATTTGGGCCCTTTCATGACTTGGGGACTTCAACTCCCAGAATTCCTCAGCCAACATGGGCAATTTGGGCCCTTTCATGACTTGGGACTTCAACTCCCAGAATTCCTCAGCCAACATGGGGAATTTGGGCCCTCTCATGACTTGGGGACTTCAACTCCCAGAATTCCTGAGCCAACATGGGGAATTTGGGCCCTTTCATGACTTGGGGACTTCAACTCCCAGAATTCCTGAGCCAACATGGGAATTTGGGCCCTTTCATGACTTGGGGACTTCAACTCCCAGAATTCCTCAGCCAACATGGGCAATTTGGGCCCTTTCATGACTTGGGGACTTCAACTCCCAGAATTCCTCAGCCAACATGGGGAATTTGGGCCCTTCATGACTTGGGGACTTCAACTCCCAGAATTCCTGAGCCAACATGGGAATTTGGGCCCTTTCATGACTTGGGGACTTCAACTCCCAGAATTCCCAGCCAACATGGGGAATTTGGGCCCTTTCATGACTTGGGGACTTCAACTCCCAGAATTCCTCAGCCAACATGGGGAATTTGGGCCCTTTCATGACTTGGGGACTTCAACTCCCAGAATTCCTGAGCCAACATGGGGAATTTGGGCCCTTTCATGACTTGGGGACTTCAACTCCCAGAATTCCTGAGCCAACATGGGGCCCTTTGTCCCTTTGAATCATGCTGGCTCAGGAATTCTGGGAGTTGAAGTCCACGAGTCATAAAAGGGCCCAAATTCCCCACCCCGGCCTGAGGTAGTCACTTCCGGTGGTCCTGCTCCATGCAGGCCCAGAGGCATCCCTCCCGCCCCGTGTCTTCCTGTTTGGGGGAATTCTGGGAATTGAAGTCCACCCCTCTTAAATTTGCCACAATTAAAGCCATTCCCATGTTTCTCCTAGAATTTCCAGTGGTGGGAATCGAAGCCGGTCAGATCCTGCAACATCTGGAAGGACCATGATGTAGGACCATGATATCTCTCCAAAACCATAGACGGGGAGAATATTTTGTGCCCTAAATTCTATGTTTGCCCCCCCAAAAAAACCCCTCCAGTTCCTCCCCACCTCACCCCCGAGAGATCCTACCAGGTCCCACCTGGGTTCATGGTGATGAAGATGCCACAAGACCACACCAGGTTGATCTCGTGGCCTTCAAAGGTGAACCGGGTCATGTTGGCCGCCAGGGCGGACAGGATGGAGAGGATTTGCTGGGCCACCACCGAGAGGACCTCAATGTTGATGCGGTTGAATTCGTCAAAGCACCCCCAGGCTCCCGTCTGTGGGGGGGGGGGACAAATCAATGGGGGTCAGCCAGGAGTTTTTCCCCCACCCAGGATCAACCAGAGTCTTCAAACATGGCCGCTTTAAGACTTGGGGACTTCAACTCCCAGAATCCTCAATCAGCCATCTTGACTGGGGGATTCTGGGAGTTGAAGTTCATGCAATTTAAAAGATATATAGATTGAAAAACGCTGTTCTAGGAGAGGGATTCTCTAACCTTGGCTGCTTGTGGACTTCAACTCCCAGAATCCCCCAGTCAGCTATCTTGACTGGGAATTCTGGGAGTTGAAGTTCATGCAATTCACAAGATACATAGATTGAAAAACGCTGTTCTAGGAGAGGGATTCTCTAACCTTGGCCGCTTGTGGACTTCAACTCCCAGAATCCCCCAGTCAGCCATCTTGACTGGGGGATTCTGGGAGTTGAAGTTCATGCAATTTAAAAGTTATATAGATTGAAAAACGCTGTTCTAGGAGAGGGATCCTCCAACCTTGGCCCCTTATGGACTTCAACTCCCAGAATCCCCCAGTCAGCCATCTTGACTGGGGAATTCTGGGAGTCGAAGTTCATGCAATTTAAAAGATATATAGATTGAAAAACGCTGTTCTAGGAGAGGGATCCTCCAACCTTGGCCGCTTTAAGACTTGTAGACTTCAACTCCCAGAATCCCCTCAGCCAGCCATTTTGACTGGGGGATTCTGGGAGTCGAAGTCCATACATCTTAAAAGCTGCCTAGACTGAAAAAGGTTGTTCTAGGACAGGAGTATCCAACCTTGGCCGCTTGTGGACTTCAATTCCCAGAATTCTCCCAGCCAGACTAGGGGAAATGAGGCGATAACAAGACTTTCAAGTTTTCAGCTCTTAAAAAAGCGACTTAGGACCGTTTTCAGACTTACGACCATCGCAGCCTCAAAATTGACAACCAACTCGTATTTATGACAGTCGCAGCGTCTCCTGACGAGCACAGTCAACGGGGAAGCTGGATTCGTTCAAGAATTGTATGACCTACTTAACAACGGCTACCGCTCATTTAGTGACGGTGGCAAGAAAGGCCGTAAAAGGAGGCAAAATTCACTGAACAACTGAACAAAAATATTCAGCTCAATTGTGGTTGTAAATCAAGGACTACCTACATTTCGATTACTGTTAGATCTGTGCAAATTATTGGACAACGGAATTGGCTTGCTATACAGTAGACTCAGGTAGTCCTCGACTTACAACAGTTCGTTTAGTGACCGTTAGAAGTTTACAACGGCCCTGAAAAAAAGTGACTTGGGGCCATTTTTCACACTTACCGTTGCACCCGATCAAAATTCGGACGCTTGGCCACTGATTCGTATTTATGACGGTCGCAGTGTCCCGGGGAAGTCACACCCTTTTGCGACCTTCTGACCAGCAAAGAAAACGGGGAAGCCCGATTCGCTTCACGACGGTGCCGCTAACTTAAAAAGTTGATAGATCCATCAAATCAAACGAGTTTTGCTCCACGTTTCCGGATACCGTTGTTAATTGAATCGACCGCAGGGATGCGCTTAACAGCGGTATCCGGAAAGGACGTAACGTGGAACAAAACTCGTTTGATTTGATTTATCCAATTTATCGGCCGCCCATCTGACCACCGGGTGACGACACTCAGCCGGTGCGACAGCGCAGGAAATTCGGGGCTCAATTGCAGTCGTTAAGTCGAGGACTGCCCTGTAAAGAGGCTCACCTGGGCGAGTCCGGAGTACATGCGCCCCATGGATTTGTAGTCCAGGCCCTCCGAGCAGTTCACCACGATCACGTACATGCCGAGGGCCTTGCCCAGATCCTTCACGGTCTCCGTCTTGCCGGTGCCCGCGGGGCCCTTCGGGGACCCTCCTCGGTGGAGATGGAGGGCCGTGGTCAGCGTCATGTAGCACCTGAGGAGGAAAGAACACAGGTGCTCAATGACCCAGCTGTCTTGTCTTTCCCCGGAGGCTGTCCTCGAGTTACAACCGTTCATTTAGTGACCATAATTAGAGTGGTACGGTGGGTCTACAGGTGGAGGCCTCTTCTCACAATCCTCTGCCTAGGATCAAACTCACAACCAGGAGGCTGTGAAATTTGATCCTAGGTAGAAGCAGATACGTTTCTCTCTGGGCACATTGGGAATATATCTGCTGAACAAAACTCCGCATTGGTGACAAGAAAGGCATCCGGCCAGTAAAACACTCAGCTCCGTTCAGTTGCCCCAACTCTACCCTGCAAGGGATTACGGGCTCGTTAAAAGATGATTTAACGACCATGGCGGTATCCCCATGGTGGTCACGGGATCAAAATTCAAGCACTCGGCCACCAACTCGCATTTATGACGGTCACAGCGTCCCAGGGTCACGTGATTCCCATTTGTGACCTTCTGACGTGTGACTCGCTTAAAAACTGCAGGGATTCACTTAGCCGCTGTGGCAAGGAAAGGTTGGGAAATGGGGTGAAACTCCCTTAGTCAATGTCTCGCTTAGCGACAGAAATTGTGGTTGTAAGTCGAGGACTCCCAGCCAGCAAAAGCCTGCAAACTCTGCCCCGCAAGAGGAAATCCGGGCAGGCTCTGTCAATCTCACACTCCCGTCCTCCCACCTTCACGGGGGATCTGAAAGCCCCCAATTCAAGCCCCTCCCCTCTACCCCGCCCCCGCAGGGCACCTGTCAGTCAGAGGGGTGATGACCAGCCGTCCGGAGTTCCCCAGATACTCGTAGCCGTAAGCGAACTGAGTGTTGGTCTGCCGGATCACGCAATCGTCCAAATCCTGCAAAGAGAGAAAGGTTGGGGGTTTCCTCGCAAACATTTCATGACCCAACTAGGGAACGTCATCAGTGCTGCAGGAGAACGGAGTCTGCAGAGAGGAGGAGGAGGAGAACTGTGGGGTCCTTGGTGCTCTCTGAACTTGCTTATTTTCTTGCAAGACGTCTCGTGACCCAACTAGGTAACATCATCAGTGCTGGAAGGGAGCGGAGTTTGCAGAGAGGAAGAGGAAGACAAAAGAGGAGGAGGACGAGGAGGGGTGGGGAGAAAAGGACAGTGGGGTCCTTGGTGATCTCTGAGCTTGCTTGTTTTCTTCCAGACGTTTCGTGACCCATCTAGCTAACATCATCAGTGCTAGCGCATTGATGGAATGCACCGAGAAAGTCCCGGAATGTCCACATGTGTGTGTGTGTGAGCTTCCTACCAGCTGAGCAGCATCCACGTCACCTGTGGGTCATCTGTGCTTCTACACATGTCCAGCAGGGGGCAGCAACACCCAAGGCTGAAGGTAAGCTTCCAGCATTCCACCGTGAAGCCCGTTCTCTCCAGCAGGTGGCAGCAGAGGGACGGGTGGCATCGCACGCCTATGTGCGAGTGTGTGTGCGCGCGCGCGAGCACCTGCTCCCCCTCCTCCTCACCTTCTCCCAGTAGAGGCGAAGCTGGCTCAACCACTCGAAGGACGTCACGTCCAACATGCCGCTCTTGTAAAGCTTCTCGATGACGTCCCGGGCGTGGACTTCCACCGTCACCAGCGCCACGATCTTCAGGCGCATGATTTTGGTCAGGCTGCCCCGGATGGCCTCCGAGTATTTGTTGAGCATGGAGATCTGATCCCCGCCCAGCCACACGCGAACACAACACGCACAAAAACACACACACACAAAAAAGGAAAGAAGTTTGTCTCGAGGGCTGCGGGGAGCTTCCGAGTCCAGCTGCAGTCTATCTTAACAATTCTGGATGTAGAGGGAAACCAGCTTAGGGGGAGGATGCTGTACCCCCACCCTCGCTTGCGAGAAGGACATTATGTAGATACTGCAAAGACGACGTAGCCCAGCAGTAGATACAGGGAGTCCTCGACTTACGACCGCACATTTCCGTTGCTAAACGAGACAGTCGCTAAGTGACGTTTTGCCCCATTTTACTGTTTTTCTTGCCGCAGTCGATAAGTGAGTCACACGGTTAAGTGAATCTGGCTTCCCTATTGACTTCCCCTTCTGGCAAGCAAAAGTCAAGGAGAAATCCAGATTCACTTAACCACTGTAGCCAGAAAGGTCGTAAAACGGGGAAAAGATTCATTTAACAACAGTCTGATTTAGCAACATAAATTTTGGGTTCAATGGTCATAAATCGAGGACTGCCTGTGGTTTAGGCCTTCTTTCGCATTCTGGCCTCTCCTGATAACAATGCGCACGCAAAACATTTCCCCATTTGGCAAGAAAGTGGATTATAGGTAGTGCTCGACTTACGACCACAGTTCAACCCAAAATTTCCATTGTTGAGCAGGACAGTTATTAAGCGAAGTCTGCCTCCATTTTACCACTTTTCTCGCCACCGTTGTTAAGTGAATCGCTGCAGTTGATAAGCGAGTCACGCCCTTTTGAAATGAATCTGGCTCCTCTGACTTCCCGGCGTGACCCTGGGGGATACTGCAACCGTCATAAATACGAGTCACTTGCCAAGCGTCCGAATTTTGACCCCTCCCTGACCATTGGGGATGCTGCCACGGTCGTAAGTGTGAAAAATGGTCCTCAGTCACTCTTTTCAGTGCCATCGTCATTTTGAACGGTCACTAAATCACTAAATTAACGACCCCATAATCCCTTGCGGGGTAGAGTCTGTTCAACTGAATGGAGCTGAGTGTTTTACTGGCCGGATGCCTTTCTTATCACCGATGCGGAGTTTTGTTCGGCAGATATAATCTCATTGTGCCGAGAGAGAAATATCTACCTCTACCTAGGATCAAACTCACAGCCCGCTGATTGTGAGGCGAGAGCTCCGCCTCTAGGCCACCGCCCCACGCTTTGAACGGTCACGAAATGAACCGTTGTAAGTTGAGGACTACTTGTACTGTCTGGCCGGTCGGGGCTGCTATGGACCCGCCGAAGGGCGAAGGGGTGTGTGCAGGACGGCGAGAGTCCCAGGGACATCCTCACCTGCTTCTTCTTCATCGCTTTGAGGTACTTCTTGTCACCGCGTTCCTTACAGGTGGCCAAGCATTTACTGACGTCGGTCGTCCATTGGATCTGGCTTGCGGTGATCACCATCTGGCGGGGGAGGGGGGGAAGGAAAAATCGGCTTATTTGGGGAGGGGGAGTCAAGGGGGAAGGAGACCCACCTCCCCGTTCCTCAGCTTGATCTGGGGTGTTGAGGGAAAGGAAATCTCCACTCAAGGGTGGGAACGCCAACATTTTAAGAAGGTCCCACGGGGAACATCTGGTAAAGTGGGGTTAGACTCCGGTTACAGCTATGGGGGGAGACTCCGGTTAGAGCTATGGAGGGGGGGAGTCCATCCCATAAGGATCCCTCCCTTTCTCCCTTCATCTTCTCTTTTGGTCGCAGGTCAAAGACGCCCACGATCATCCTACAGGCAGGATGGGGACATAAACATCAGAGTTGGCAGCACCACGGAAGGAGACCTGCATGTCCCACCAAAAAAAGATGGGGTGCCCGGCCATATCAGAGCTCGCCACCCCCTCGGCACCTGCCGGGACACTTCAGAGACTCCATATGACCTCTTGGCCAGGGTCTGCATCCTTACCTGTCCAGGCCATTCCTTCACCCATTTGTCTCTCTTGGTCAACATCTTCTTCAAGGCCAGCCGGCAATTCCGTAGCACTTCCCTCAACGTCCAGCGCATGGCCCTCTCCACGTCGCACAGCCACTCCTAGGACAACATTGATTCTCGGTCACAATGGAGGAGTCTGCCAGGACCCCCCACCCCACCCTTGTGGGATAGTCCAGTGGAGGAACAGTGACTGGAGCCACCCTTGTCAACGCCCAACGGGACCAGGCATGATCTGGGCAGTCCTAGGACAAGGGAAAGGTTATCGTGATGACGAGCAGAAGATCAGGAAAGGAGCTCTAAGCAAGCTCTCATCCCCGCAAAAAAAGAATAGACCAGGGAGAGAACATGATGGATCTACGTGGTGTTTCACGCCAGGTGGTATCTTCAACACCTTCACAATTATCAAATGATTCCAGGTGAAGCCAAGGAGAAACTGCTCACCTCCACAGGTCCTTCCAGCAGCACGGAATGGGTGTAGTCCACATATTCCCCATCCAGGGAGAACATGCCGAGGGCTTCAGATCGCTGGCTGGTCCCAATCTGAGCAGGGAAAGGAGAATCAGTTGTCTCCACCGGTGCCCCATCATCTCCTGACCCAAGGAAGACCTTCTCCGTTGGGTTTGCCCACCAAAAGTGACAAGGCCAAGCCGAATTCTGACTACCAATCATCCACAGCATTACGTGGAAAGGAAGAAACGGAGCCATCGTCATCGGAGTTGGAAGGGACCTTGGAGGTCTTCTAATCCAACCTCCTGAAACATTCTAGACAAAGGGCTGTCCCGTGTCTTCTTAAAGGCCTCCAGTGATGGAGCATCCACAACCTCCGTTCCATTGCTTAGTCGTTCTCACCGTCAGGAAGTTTCTCCTTGGTTCTAGGTTGTTCTAGACCTAAGAACGTCTTCGTTCTAAGCCCATGGAGAAACCAAAGGGATGTGGACAGGAGACCCCGGCCTTCCGTGAGTCGTACCTTCTGAATTTTGAGGCACTTGATGTTGTCAAAGCACTTCTTGAGGTGGGGCTGGACGGCCTCCGGGTTACGGGACTGGCCCAAGATCTCCAAGAGGTCATCGTTGGAGAGGAAGTAGAATCGGGGAAAGATATGACGCTTGGTCTCCAAGTACATGTCAAGGGACTTCTGGATGTCTTCTAAAGCACTGTTCATTTCTACCAGTTTGTCCAGGAGTCCTGCAGGGAGGAGAAGCACAGAAGAGTCATAAGTGTCTCCCTGGTCCTGGCCAAGAAACCTGCTCTCCTCAGAAGTCTCAGAATCCTGAAGGCCTCCTACGACCTTCTTCCTATCTCCAGATGGTGAGGTGGAACCTAGAAACATTGGGTGCAAAGCTGACTGGGCTTCTTCCCCTGAGCTGTGGACCATCCCTCCACCATGACAGAAAGGAGGAAGAAGTAACCTGGGTAATGAGTAGCCCTCAGAGCGTTATTGTCCTTCACAAAGCGGTCCATGATGGTCTTCCAGCTGCTGTTGATGTTGTCGAAGGAGGACGATTCACCGGGCAGTTGCTTGCGGATATCTTCTCCCAAGAAGATGTTCTGGAGATGAAGGAGAGACAAGACACGTCTGGATTTGTAAAGCACATGGCCCTTTCATGGGAAGGGTAGCCCTTCAATATTGCTCATCGCCACCACAGTGGTCTACTGCCCCACCAAAGAGACGATGGAGGTAACGACCCACGCCTTCAGAAAGGAGGAGAACCTCACCTCCAGGTACATCCACTGACGCTGGACGGTCAGTAACATCTCGATCACCTCCAGGATGAGCGAGAGGCAGCGTTCCCACCGGTCCACGTCCTTCTCAAACGGCTTCACAAAACGTGATGCCTTCATGGTGGACAAGGCCACCTGATTGTCATCCAGAGCCTGGAAGACATCCTCGGTTCCTCTGTAGAAAGAGAGAGTCTTTCTGAGTGCAGGACCTCAAAAAAGGCCAAGTAGCAGAGGACTTCTGAGTCAGAAGACCTGTTCTGGAAGAGGACCTCTGCTCTCCTTAATCTAGAGCCCCTTATGGACTTCATCGAAGGTTGGTGAAGTCTACATTCCCCCTTTCCACTCCCGAGATTTTGGAACTCACTTGGACCTCAGAAGACATTCTAATGAGGATACTAGAGGTTGAACCGTGAAGTCCTTGAACCTCCCTTGAACCAAATTTGGAGAGGACCAAGGACACCAGAGAAGGATACACCCAGTAGATTGTGAAGTCCAGGCAGGAGAAGACAGCCTTTAGCTACCTTATCTCAGTCCAAAACTATTAAACCTTTGATGATGGTAACCACCACATGGATTTCCTTCCAGAAGCCAACATGGCCATCGTAGCTTCTGGGGACATAGATAGATAGATAGATAGATAGATAGATAGATAGATAGATAGATAGATAGATGGATGGATGGATGGATGGATGGATGGATGGATGGATGGACGGACAGACAGACAGACAGACAGACAGACAGACAGACAGACAGACAGACAGACAGGCGGATGGATGATAGACATAGACAGAAAGATAATGGATGATGGATGGATAGATAGATAGAAAGATAGATATACTTACGGATGATAGATAGAAAGAAGATGATGGATGGATGGGTAGGTAGATGGATGGATGGGGTGGGTGGGTGGGTGGGTAGGTAGATAGATAGATAGATAGATAGATAGATAGATGGATGGATGGATGGATGGATGGATGGATGGATGGATGGACAGACAGACAGACAGACAGACAGACGGATGGATGATAGACATAGAAAGATAATGGATGATGGATGGATGGATGGATGGATGGATGGATGGATGGATAGATAGAAAGATAGATATATTTACGGATGATAGATAGAGAGAAAGATAATAGACAGATGATGGATGGATAGATGGATAGATGGATGGATGGATGGATGGGTGGGTGGGTAGGTAGGTAGGTAGGTAGGTAGATAGATAAGATAGTTAGTTAGTTAGTTAGTTAGTTAGTTAGTTAGATAGATAGATAGATAGATAGATAGATAGATAGATAGATAGATAGATAGATAGATAGATATGGATGATAGACTGACAGATAGTCTGAAAGAGAGAAAGATGATAGACAGGTGGATGGATGGATGGATGGATGGATAGTAGATAGATAGATATGGATGGATAATAGACTGACAGATCGAAAGTCAGAAAGAGAGGAAGATGATAGGCAGAGATGATAGAACCCCATCCAGAGTCTTGGTTCTGCACTCAGAGGCCGCTGACGTTGGTCCTTCAGATATTGTAGAGTGTTGACCTGGCATGTCCAAAGCCCGTATCTCCATGGTCATGCCCTGATGCTACATGGCCGTCCTTCTCCCAACCTTGAACCCAACCAGACCTACCTGATCCGGTGGTGTCCTTTATCTTTGTACGGGACAATGTCCAATGAGGTTGCAGCCCAGGTCTTCGCGATGTTCTCAAGAGCCTGGAAGGAGAAGGACACAAGAACGAGTCATCCTTTGTTCGGAACGCTTGCAGGGGCTTCTCAACGGGACACGCAAGAAGAGTTTCATGGAAGTCAAGAGCCACTGTGGGCTTCTGAAAACCAATTCCTCAGGCTCTCCTTTGAAGAATTGGGGGGGAAGAGTTCAGTTGAGTTGACTGCCGGTCAACCAAGCAGAAGAAGACGCTTACCTGCTCGATGGCCAGTTCCTTGGTGGCTGAGGAAGAAATCTCAGCAATCTTCTCCACGTGTTTGTCCAAGCCCAATTCAATGATATTTTCCAGTCTGAAGTCCTCAGCATCTTGATCGAATGTCCGAAGGACCAAGTCCTTCACCTGGTCCCAGTGTCTGCAGGTGACCAGGAATGAATGAATGAAGGAATGAATGAATGATTCTGTCTGTCTCACACCTATCTATCTATCTATCTATCTATCTATCTATCTATCTATCTATCTATCTATCTATCTATCTATCTATCTATCATCTATCTATCTATCTACATCATCAATTATCATATCTATCTATCTATCTATCCATATATCTGTCTATCTATCTATCTATCATCAATTATCATATCTACCTATCTACTATATCTATCTGTCTGTCTGTCTGTCTATCATCATCATCATCAACTATCATCTATCTACCTACCTACCTATCCTCTATATCTATCTATCTACCTATCTATATCTATCTATATCTATCTATCTGTCTGTCTGTCTATCAGCATCAGCATCAACTATCATCTACCTACCTACCTACCTATCTTCTCTATATCTATCTGTCTATATCTATGTTATCATCATCATCATCAACTATCATCTACCTACCTACCTATCTTCTCTATATCTATCTATCTATCTATCTATCTATCTATCTATCTATCTATCTCTATCTATCTTCTATCTATCTAACATCTTTCTATGTCTGTCTGTCTGCCTGTCTCTCTCTATCTATCTATCTATCTATCTATCTATCTATCTATCCATCTATCTGCTATCTATATCTATCTATCTATCATCTCTCTATATCTATCTGTCAGTCTTTGTCTCTCTCTTTATCCATCCATTCATCCATATCATCTGTCTGTCTGTCTGTCTCTCTCTCTCTCTCTATCATCTGTCTGTCTGTCTGTCTGTCTGTCTGTCTATCTATCTATCTATCTATCTATCATCTCTCTATATCTATCTGTCTGTCTTTGTCTCTCTCTCTCTTTATCCACCCACCCATCCATCCTTGGTCAAAGTTCTCCTGGGCCCAAGACCAGGCCAGTGTCCTTCAACTCGGCCAACCCCGGCCTGTGATTCCTGGCCAACTGAAGCCGCCTACCTCTCTCGCAAAGCTGGGTTCCTGAGATCCGTGACCAAAGGCATGGTCCTCTTAAACTGCTCAATCTTGGCCTTGGAGGTCTCAATTATTTCCCAGTTCCGGTCCTTCGGTCACAAAAGAAGAGGGGGTCAAAAGCTCATTCAATGATGAAAATGGGAAAGCATTTGATTTCTGGGTTGGGGCTAGAAAACTGCCGGATGCCCTCAACCTCAACGTCAATTCCTTGATGCTCTCCGAGATGGGTTCTATTTACTTGCAGACGTTTCACAACCCAACTAGGGAACAATATCAGTGCGAGAAGGGAGCGCGGTTTGCTCTCATTTTATATACCAGGGCTCTTCAAATTTTTTAAACAGTGGGGAGGGGGGGCAATTCACGGTCCCTCAGACTGTTGGGGGCCCCCGGACTGGCTCGGTGGGCGTGGCTAGGTCATGTGACTAGTGGGCGTGGCCAATTTAACAGTCCATTCAACTTTCATTTGCCTCCTGGGGCATCTGTGCGCCCCGTTTTTTTACCCACCACACCTCCAGAATGTCTCTGCAGGCCAAAATCGTTGGCCTTACCTTTCAGGTCCAGCCCGCGGGGCTAGCGAAGGTAAGTCCTGCGCTCGGCCGAAGGGTGGGCAGGGTGATATGGGCGGGGCAGCCTCGTGATCCTGTGCAGGCCGGATTAACGGCTTCAGCGGGCTGCATGTGGCCCGCAGGCTGTAGTTTGAGGACCCATGTTATATACGAATGACTTGCTCTCTCGGTGTTGGTGGGAATGTTCTTAGCGGTTTTTTGATTCAATCCAGTTGACCTAGGTTGGGCTGCGGTTGAGTGGGGAATCCCTCCCTCCATCCTCACACCTCCTCCTCCCATTGAAGTTTGAACCCAAGTCCAACGGGGAAGCTGAAAAGGCCCATCCTCCACAATCGCCTTCCCTACGGAGGAGCTCCTGAACCTCCCTTCTTTCCCCACCGCAAAGCCTTCCGGGGCTCACTTGCCTTAAGCTCCTTGCTCAGCTTGTTCAGCTTGCGGAAGAGGGCGAAGGCGGTGTTCTCCATCACCTCCGTCTTCAAGGTCTTGAAGCTCCCGTTCTTCCACTCCTCCCAGTGGACCTCCCATTCCTTCGTGATCTCCCAGACTTGTTGGATGTAATCCAGTTCCTGCAGAACCCAGAAGACAAGCAAGAGGTGAGTTACGAAGCCCGACCTTGGGATCTGAGATCTTCTCTTCGGAAGAAGGTCAACGGCAGGGGTGGGATTCAGCCGGTTTGGACCGGTTTGGGCAAATCGAATGCTAATTTTACATCTTGTTTGCCGAACCGGTAGTGGCAAGGACTGGCTGGCTCCGCCCACCCTGCCCCGCCCCTCCAGGAATCTCCACGCAGCCCATTTTGGATGCCAGGTAAGTGCAAAGCCTGCATGGAGGCTCTGGGAGGGCAAAAAACGAGCCTCCTGGAAGTTCCAGAAGTCTGGAAACGGGTCCGTTTCCGGTCTCCAGAAGGCCTCTGGAGCCTGGGGAGGCTATTTTCACCCTCCTGGAGGCTCGAGGAAAGCCTCCGGAGCCTGGGGAGGGTGAAAACGCCTGACCCGCTGTAGTGCAGGAGGCCGAGTAGGCCACGCCCACTATGGCCATGCCCACCCAACAACCGAGAATCCCACCCCTGGTCAATGGTAGAAGGTCCTCTCACCCTCTCCAGCTTCTGAAGGTCTTTGGAGGCGGGCTGGTCAATCTTGAAGATGCCCAGGTTGGAGCGCAAGGCGTTCTCCTCCTCCTTCATGGTGGCCAGTAACTGCCTCATGGCCATGATCTGCTCCAGGGCAGCGTCAGCCGAGACGGCACTGGTGAAGGGACCTGCCGGTGGAGAAGGACAAAAGACGTGGATGACTTCTTCCGTGCTTTCTCTGGGGATTGGCCGGCATATTGGCTATGCCTACCTCCGATCCAACCACCGCAGGCCTCTGCTCGTGAGAAAGCTGCTGTGGTTCAAACACAGGTGAAGCTGGGCCCGGGTGGGGTGTCGCCTTTTCTTTTAGGAAGAGGAGTGGCAGAAGCAGGGGGCGGAGTCAAAACAGGAATCAGCCTAGAGTCCTTATTGTAATCACAAGTGAACAAAGTCCAACCGCCCTTGAATCCGTAGGCCTTAATCTAACTCATAGCATCTGCCAAGCATTAGATGAGAAGATTCCCGCGCAGAGGCTTTCAGCAATAAAGCATTTTAGTTAGAAGATTCCTGCGGAGAGGCTTTCAGCAATAAAGCAGTTTAGTTAGAAGATTCCCGCGCAGAGGCTTTCAGCAATAAAGCATTTTAGTTAGAAGATTCCTGCGGAGAGGCTTTCAGCAATAAAGCAGTTTAGTTAGAAGATTCCCGCGCAGAGGCTTTCAGCAATAAAGCATTTTAGTTAGAAGATTCCTGCGCAGAGGCTTTCAGCAATAAAGCAGTTTAGTTAGAAGATTCCCGCGCAGAGGTTTTCAGCAATAAAGCAGTTTAGTTAGAAGATTCCCGCGCAGAGGCTTTCAGCAATAAAGCAGTTTAGTTAGAAGATTCCCGCGCAGAGGCTTTCAGCAATAAAGCAGTTTAGTTAGAAGATTCCCGCGCAGAGGCTTTCAGCAATAAAGCAATTTAGTTAGAAGATTCTCGCGCAGAGGCTTTCAGCAATAAAGCAATTTAGTTAGAAGATTCCCGCGCAGAGGCTTTCAGCAATAAAGCAGTTTAGTTAGAAGATTCCCGCGCAGAGGCTTTCAGCAATAAAGCAGTTTAGTTAGAAGATTCCTGCGCAGAGGCTTTCAGCAATAAAGCAGTTTAGTTAGAAGATTCCCACGCAGAGGGTTTCAGCAATAAAGCAGTTTAGTTAGTAGATTCCTGTACAGGTTTTCAGCAGTAAAGCAGTTTAGTAAGAAGATTCCAGCGTATAGGCTTTCAGCAATAAAGCAATTTAGTTAGAAGATTCCCGCGCAGAGAGTTTCAACAATAAAGCAGTTAAACTGGACCTTCACGGGTGGATATGGTCTTTCATGACCGACAGGACCAGCCCTCTTCAGTTCCCCTAACCCGAATGGGGCTTCCTCTTGAGGGACAAGAGACACCAACCAGAAGTTCTCAACCCTACTGTTTTCCTACAAAACCCAGAAGAAAACCAACCCAGCCCGCTCCCGCTTAAGGAACCGAAGGGTAGTCAAAGAGAAGGGCCATCCTTTTTGTCCTCAGGAGGGGACGATGGGCCGAGAGGGAGAGGAGGATCAAGCCCCGAGATACCCACCATTCATATCAAAGTCCTGGAGGAGATTTTGGGCCTTCTTCTTGAAGTCATCTGCGCAGTGGATCAGGCCCGTCTTGAACTTCTCCTTGTGCTTTTTCAACATGGTTTCGCTGTCCAGGAGGCATTGTTGGAAAGCTAGCCACTCCGAATTCAAATCACCCAGCAGCTGCAGGACCTGGCGGGATGGGAAACCGAGCGGCGTTGAGCACAAAAAAGAGATGAGGAGGACCAGCAGAGATAAGCACCACAAAGTTGTGGCGGGAACAAGGGTGAAATGCTACCGGTTCGCACCGGTTTGAGCGAACCAGTAGTAAAAAAAAAAAAGCTACCAGTTCGGGCAAACCGGTCTTTCCGATAATAAATAAAGACTAAAAAAATCAGGATGTTGTGTCCATCCCATCAACCAGAGAGTAAAGCAGCTGCGTCAGGACGCCAGGCCAACCGGAAGAGCCGGGTTTTAAAGTCACTCTGGAAGACCAACCTCAGCTCTGGCAGGAGAATATTCTAGAACAGGGGTCTCCAACCTTGGAAGCTTGAAGACCTGTGGATTTCAACTCCCAGAATTCCCCAGCCAGCCACGTAGGGTAACTTTCTTAATAGATGGAGGGTATGCAGTAAGCGTAATATATCTTGATATTCAGCAAAGTGAGGGGAAAAAAAGAGCTGGCTGGGGGATTCTGGGAGTTGAAGTCCACGAGTCTTAAATCAGGGGGTTGATTTAAGACTCGTGAACTTCAACTCCCAGAATTCCCCAGCCAGCCACACAGGATAACTTTCTTAATAGATGGTGGGTATGCAGTAAAGCCTCCTTTTTCCACGCAGAGGATTTCACCACTGGGCGGGAGTTGTGGGGGGCGTGGACCGACAAAAGGAGGCAACAGCTAACCTAATACAGGGAGTCCTCAACATACGACCAAAATCAGGGCCAGAATTTCCATTCCTAAGCATTGTTAATTTTGTTTCTAATTTTTTTTTTGCCAAGGTTGTTAAGCGAACCTCTTCAGTTGTTAAGTGAATCTCACAGGCGTTAAGCAAATCCGCCTTTCCCCATTGTCGGAAGGCCGCAAATGGCGATCCTGCGACCCCAGGATCCTGCAACATGTACGGTGGCCAAGCACGCAAATTTTGATCACCTGCCCGCGGGGAATGTTGTGACCGTCGTAAGTGCGAGGACCGCTCGTAAGTCACTTTTTTTCCCACTCCTGTTGCAATTTCGGTCGCTAAACAGACCGTTGTTAAGTTGAGGACTCCCTGTACAGAGGCAGTCAACCTCGGTAGGAGGAGGAAAGCTGCGTTTCCTGGCCACGTCAGCCCCGAATCCTCAGCCGCAGAACTTACCTCTTCGTCCACCACGACCTCGTACTTCTCCAGGATGGCAAACTGCTCGTGGATGGGGGGGATCTGCCCCTCGATCTTCAGCAGGTCGTTCTGCAGCGTCTCGTGCAGCTGGAGGCTTCGGCTCAGCTCCTCCAGGGTCTGCGGAGGACGGCCGATACTGCGGGGGCAAAAGGAGCATTTTAGGCCAGATGAGGGATTTTACTCCGCTAGTTGTGGCTGTTAACCTTCCCACCGAAATTCTACCTATTGATCTACTTGCATTTGCAGGCTTTCGAACTGCTAGGTTGGCAGGAGTTGGAGCGAGGAACGGGAGCTCACCCCATCGCATGGAGCTCGGGTCTCGAACCTGAGCTGCCGACTTTCCAGCCGACAAGCCCAGCGTCTTAACCCCTGAACCACCGCATTGCTCTTTTATATCGGGAAGGGGTGGGAAAAGAGAGGGAGGGATGGGGAGGGGATCGATGGTCGGACACTCACTCAGCTGCGTTGTCCTGCAGGTAGGCGGTCAGTTCCCGCAAGCGGCCAGTGGCCATCTCCTTCAGCAGGTTGGTCAGCTTGTTCTGCCACTCGTTACAGTGCTGGACCACGGCGGCTTT